TGGGTACTGGTGATGAGTCTTGGCACATCTTTTCAATCGACGCCGGGGTGGAAAGCCAGAAAGGCTCAAGCTCATTATCAGTGTTTCTAGACTTGACCTTGCGACTCCTCAGTGCCAAGTTGACGAAAGATGAATGGTATGAATACTCGTCAATTACCTACTTGTGGTGACCCCGTTTAGGCTTCCATCGATCTCGCGCTGAAGCACATATAGATTCACCCTCCGTCACCACCCGCCATTTTACTTTCATGAAGTCCCTGTTACCACAGACTTATCAATACTCGGAGTAGAGCAGGCAGAAACTCAAGTAGAGTGATGCCCAGAGATCTACAATTCTTACGTGTCTAGATGGAACATCGTATCCCATAGGTTTGGGATAGAAGGTCCGTAGTCTGTTGTCTTGATAGGAAATGGTGTACGTGTAACTATGAATACGCCCAATCTCTGACGCAGGATATAGGGGCAGATACAAGGGAGACGGGTGGCCAAACCTCTTGTATGAGAGCGTGTGGAATCTCGAAAGGTCATCTGATGTGTGGGGAGATGCGACGGAATCTGAGCAGAATGACAGCCCAATCCAGATAGAACTTTATCTCGTAGCTGAAATATGAGCAGATGGAACACGTTGCTTCACGCGGCTAGAGTCTGAGTAAGCTCGTGAGGGATCAGTTGTCAATTTCCACATTCCTCACATGTCACATCTGCGAAATGAGAAAACTAAGGTGGGTTGGGAGGCGACCAAAAAAACCGGGCTCTTGTTTCTTTTCTTTACTGGTGAAGGCTGCAATCGATCTTGCAGCCCAAACACAACGTCCTGCAAAAGCAGGCTGCGGAACGGGCAGGGACTACGGAATTAAGGCAGGCTGAAAGGGAGGGGAGGGGGCAAATGGAGGGGGGGGGGGGGGGATAAAGCATTCGAAGTGAGACGTCTTACCGAATAATTTCTTCTCTCTGGACGATTGCATCTGTCTCGGATCGATAACCATCAATCACAACGGCCATTGAGTCCGAACGAGCATGGTAGCGCACTCTCAGGGGTGCTCGACGTCTGCTGTCGCTGAGTCAGGTCGGCTTGAGCTAACGGGGAATCGTGAGCTTGTCATAAGTCACATCCCAGTGACAGCTGCTGGATCGGGTGGCCGGTGATGCAGGTATATTATACCGGGAGACATGAAATTCCGGCTCCTGCATTGTCATTTGTGCGTTGCATGTAGCGTTCACGCCACCCTCCCGGGGAGGGGTTCCGGGCATGCAGTATGCACGCCCCAAGCTTCGAGTCGGGTCTCCCCGTCTCCCCTCCCCCCGTCTGCTAGCTCGCAGCCTCTCCATACGTATTTGAGAGTATGTTACCTCTTCTTTTGACATGAGAAATGATGGGAAGCGAGCTGCAAGCCACACCCGAGAATGTCTGGGGGACCTTCGGATCTTCCGTCATTAGAAAAGTATCCAGAGACCATTCTCGATTGCCCAGGCATACCCATCACACACTGACAGTTTTCCACGGGCTCCCGGACAGATCTCGGATCTGGGAGTTCTTGCTTATCATTTATGACTGAAGGTGTATCGGTTATGTGGCGTACAATCTGCGATACTTTAGAAACTCTCTTCATGACCTGGAATTTGATGCACCGCTGGGAGATATTTCAATTAGCCGAGTTTCTTTGATTAAATCCGACCGATCATCATCAGCATGCCATAAAACCAAGAAATCGCATGGAATGTGGCCTGTACAGGCTGTGGCGTGAATTTATGTTGGTGCGGCAGTGCAATGAACATTGTGAACAACAGAAGTGACGTCCGATTACTCAACCCGCTGAAAAGTACGTCCGTATCATCGGCCATCATATTTGTGGCAGAGTCCGAATGCAAGTTTGCTCAAATTGCTCGAGTGAAGATATTCGCATTTGCGTACGGCCGAAAGCATGTAGGACCCATGGGAATGCCTCGGCGCGTAGAGTCCTCGCTAATTCAGCCTTGAGTGATATCCCATGGATTGAAAGAGGGGTATGTTCTCCTCAAAGTCCTGGTGCACACGGGTCTGGACCTGCAGTCCAAAGTCTATCAAGTTGTCTAGTCGGCCGAGGGCCACATCATCCTGTTCGAATGGCCGCTTCACCGCTTTCTGGCTTCCCTGTCTCTTGGTGCCCGAGCTGATTCATGCGATGCTCTTATGACCCCTTCTGCTGGCAGCATCGCCATTTCGCGACACTAAAATGCCCCGGCTGCATGCACCCTTTGTTCAGTTTCTTTGTTCTCATGCTTCTACAGCTGGCTGTGCAGTCCACTGTGTAGCAATAGGGGTGGGCCCACAACTTGTCGCGTGCGGCACAGCACGTAGTAGGGCCTTCGCCCGGCCGTTTTCTTCACCAATTACTGTGGCTCACAACAGGGTTACTTTCTATTCCTCATAGGGCATGTTCATGGGCAGTATGAGGATGGCGGCATATGCTCACGTTTCATACCACTGACATTACCCACCTTCTGCGAGGCATCTGGTTCCTACTGCTATGATGTTATCGCAGTCGGCGTTTGGAGACTTGGCTGGAATAAGGTTTTTAAAGTTACAACCAACATGATTAACCCGAAAAATTGTAGTTCAGCTGCGCAATTGTGAGTATTTCTCAAAACCCTTAAAGAGCATATTATCGATACGCGTTCTGGGGATTGTTAACCTCCAGATTGGTATACACTTATCAATCGTTTCTTACAAAACCCAACGCTTGCTTCTTTAAAGCCAAGATGTATAACTTCCGAGCAGGCGTTCAAGATTGTGCCAAGGCAACAGGAAGTGTGGACCGGCCGGCGAAACGGCCGTGGTGGTGCATACGCCGGTGGCAAAAGTCTTGCCAAAGCTGCCAATATCAACGAATCGAAAGACCTATCACTTATGATTTAGCCCCCAAAGACCAACGCATTCGCGAGATCCACCCCATCTTGAATCTGAGCCATCCACAAACCAGCATACGGCGTTTTTCGCATATTTCGCCTTCTTCTCACTTATATGAGAGAGCCTTGTGTCACCACCCTTTGGAGCGCGGAAGGTTCATCCGACGCGATCCAAAGCAGGCGACGTCTGAAAGTCGAATCCTTCTTCTCGCTCGGATGCAGTCTTGTTTACCCACGCCACACATCTGAACCTTACCGCCGTTTACCTGCATACATATGCTCATGTAGGCACGACATGATGATTCCGTCTCCCCCGGACGCCGCTGAGGAAACACTACAGGTGCGTTCGTAACAAGAACCCGGAGTTGCTGAGATCGGCCTGTGACCCCCCTACCCCTGCAACATGTCACCTCGAACTGTTCAACTGGCGCAAGGCGGACCGAGAGGGAGGGCACGGTAATTAGGCTTCCTCGAAATGTAGGTTTCCACCGCACTCTGACTGCTCATTCATTCTCGCGAGTCAAGACTTCTAGATTTAAAGGCTCTCTTATTCTCCTATCTTTGCCTTATTTGCTTGCTACTCTACCACGCTCTTCCTGTCTTCTACAATCTCAAGGCTCAAGCCATCTCTCAAATAAACATCTGAAAGCTATCTACTGTTCAACACATTCTCTTTCATCCACACTTTCGCACCAGTCTTCAGTCATGGCGTTGTCGGTAGATGTACAGCTTTCCGCCTCAACGTGAGTCCTGCCTCTTTGCTCATACTCTTACTCTTTACGCCTTCATATCGTTCTCTACGTTTCCATTTCACGGTTATCCTGAAACCCATGGTGATGACCCATCGAGTATACAATACTGACTTTGGGACAGTTCTGGCACTCAACGGCCCAGGCCAGTGAATGGAGGGGAAACTCGCTCTCAACGTGATGTGCGGTACACGATGTTCAGAAACGATCATGCATTGTCAGTTGGGCTAGGCTTTACTTCAACGCGGCCAACTTCACAAGTATCCTCCACGACTGCTACCGTCACCCGGCTCGACCTCAGTTACGGAGTCTCAGTCCGCTCCGGAGGCGCTGTCGGGCAACCTCTCAACAACGTGCCAACCAGTCTGCGCGGCGCTGGATCACAATTCCCAAATTAAGGGTCTAACGGCAGCCACTGGATTGGCACCATGTCGTACCACACATTCCCGGTGTGTGGCTGCAACATGCAACGGTGCCTTGGATCGGCCAGTGGTGGTGGATTGACTCTGATCTAGATCCTGGCGTGGGGGCTTGCCTCGAATAAGAATAGCCTCCCGTCGGAAAGTACCTACCGAGATGGTGGTGCGCGGGAGCGGACACGTCTCCGCTCCGAAGTTCGGTGGAGGAGACTCGGCCGGGTCTCTGGGACGAATGAAACAATTGGGGTGAAGAAAAACGTCAATGAGATCACAAAGGGATTACATAAGCTTTCTCTCGACGCCAATGATTTGCGGTTGGATGACGCTGAAGAAGGAAGGAAGCTGCAAATCTGATGGGTCAATGCGTCGCGACTAATTTTGGCAGGAATGCAGAGACTGAGAGGCGGTAGAAACAAACCAAGCAGCCCGGGCAATGGACCGGCGGTGATTTTTTCGCGAGGTTCTGCACATGCATTTTCTCACTCTCAAGCTCTGCATATTGAAACGAATGGATAATTGGAGCAATTTGGGGCATGGGAAAGGTATCAATTGGATTCGGGGCGTTTGGACCAACTATAGTTGGATGGCACCTGCCTCAGCGTGCACCGGCGCACAACTTATTCTTGCTTTGGCGGGGTTAAGTTGGGGTGGGGAGCCCAGTATATCGTTCACATTATATACCTTATCACTTTTAAATATACTTGCATAAGCTATTAGATAGTTTAGATAGACGAGCGATGGGAATACTCTTCTCATCCATCGGCATCACAATTGATTGTTGTCGATAGTGCCTAGCTTTCCACTTTCTTTCATCACCTCCTGGCCTTTGTGGGATTATCCTTGAGATGATCCACGTCAAATGGGCCCGTTACATCCCAATTTGGCGTGATACCCGCCAAACCTTGAGCACAGACAAGAGTCTAAAGAACGGACCGGACCCGTTCTTTCATCTGAATAAATCGACTTTATTTTGACTTCGCATGTTCATGATCGAATAAGTCGTCGAAATCAACTTCGAGATGCGGTCGCAGAGTGATTCAAATTGATTCCTGAGGCTCACTCTCAAAACGCCGCGTAACTCCGGTAAGGCCAGTGATTGCCCCGCTTTCCGACTCGACCGCTGGTCGGTGCACAAGGCAATTAGGCAGACGTTGGGCACGTGAGAGGCAGCCGCTAACGAATCTGGCGAACTGGAGAATGGTTCGCGAATGATGCGGCTGATCATGACACGCAGACGGGCGAAGGACATGAACGCATGGAGAAGCTAAGGTGCGTCGTTTCGCCGGGGGTGAAAGTGTTGTCGTGAAAAATTTTCTCATCCCGAATTGACCAGTGGATGGATGGCCCTGAGGATTCAGAGACAGCCACGTACACTTGGGAGTCAAGACCAATGGCAGGTGTCAAGCGCGCGCGGGCGCGCGCCCGTTCTGCACCCCGAATTTCTACTTTTGCATGCATGCATCATTGCGCCAGGTGAGATTGCGGCATCCAATGTGAAGATCCAAGAGGAAAAACTCTTCAATTGCTGGGGCTGAGATTGATCAGAAAATTTGTCGCGGGCGGCGGGGTTGGAGCAGATTGCAGAACTTGCTGAACGTGGCTGAGATGGGGACTGACAGACGATGTTTGATTGAGAAGGTGTCAGACGGAAACGATGGTGAAAAAATGGTTGCTCATCCTGGCAAAAGCTGGCACGGCTGACTGGGCGAGGGACTCGTGAGCGGTGCCTGAATTGCTTCGTCGCTGCGCAGTAGCTGCGCCTCACAAAATCCGGCGCCATCACGACGAAAAAATGGGGCTGTGCTTTTATGACATGTTGCGCATCCCGTCGACGGGTAGAGTTGTGGCTGACGCAAAGTGGTCGTGGGCTGAGGTGGGAGAATGACGAAGGAGGACTGGCTGGCGGGCGGGCGGGCACCTGCCACATCACAAAATTATTCGCATGACGGCAGTCTGGCGATTTGGGTAATCGCGGGACAAGCAGAAACCGATCAGGTCCGGACCGCATCAAACCATTCGAATAGCGAACGTTACTGGAGCAAGCAGACAGATTGACCAGAGCTGGGAAGAGGTCAGATACCCGAAGTCCTCCGTCAGTAGCAGGTAAGTCCTTGCCCACATCCCCGAGATATTTCCAACACTTCATATATTCGAGAGCTGGCCGGATCACCCTGAGCCTTGGGTTATCGTAATAGCAAAGCTGAGAGGTCAGGATGAGCAGACTCTTTCGCCGGCAGCCTTGGTAGTCGGCTGCCCTGGCACCGCTCAAGTCGGTTCGCTTGTGTACGTATACGTTCGCCTTGTAACATCTCCGCCGTTAAAGAGGGGGCACCTAGGTCGAATGCCGTCGCGCAAAAAAATGTGCTATTATCATCCCAATCGAAAGCTGTCGAGGTTAAGGTGCATGCGACCAACAGGACCTTGAACCGTACGCTGATCACTTAAGGCAAGCAAACTGCGGCAGTCTTGAGAGTCGCCTTCTTCAGACGACACGGCTGTGACTCGATGAGCGGGTTTCAATTCGAGGGTCTGGAACCTCGCCCAATTGAGGTGACTTGCGATTGATTTGGCAATGAAACACGCCGAATGAACCAGGCATCAAGCTGCTCCTTACAAGCGCAAAGAAGCGAGGAGGACGCCGACCGACAACACCATGCGCTTGGATGGGTTGGGGGAACATGTGCCGCGTGCTGGGTGGTGGTATTTGGTGATCGAGGAATTCGGTGTCAGGTACCTATCCAGGATTACCTACCTTCACGAACCACCGGCCGGCCGCCGATGGAATTGGAGACTGTAGCGCTAGCTTCTGGGAACTGGCAACACTGTCGCCTCTTCTTTCCTTCGTGATGGACCGCGCCAAGGCTACATCATGTCTCCACGATCTCAGGTGCAGGGTTCCATGACGGGCCAGGGCAGGTATTGACAGGTACTTGTGAGTCCCTAAGGTACGTAGACAAAAACCGCCCGCCTCATTCGAGGTACGTCGCTCCATCAGGATTTCGCCGAACGAGATGAGATGGTCATCGTCAGAGTACCGCCCGGGATGGTCGTCGTCAGAACATCGTCCGAGATGGCCGTGGTCAGAGCGCCGTCCCAGAATGGGGCTGCCCGTCAGTTTCCCTTGCTTCTATGTACCCCGGCTGCGCGGGCAGGCACATTTCTGGCTCGTTGAACCCAAAGCCACCACCTGTGCCGTATGGAGTAATAAGGTAGATCAGTGTCGTCGCGTATCACCCTGTTCGATCTGCTGCCAGCCCGCCCACCCCCCCCCCCCCAATATGACCAGGCATGCACCTCAAGCTTGGTATCTACCCGGTGCCGGCTCGGGGCAGTCCCGGAAGTTGCGGGCAGCACTACAAAAGAGTTAGGGAACAGGCGAGGAAATTTCAAAGACGATTTTCAAGAAAAAAGAAACCAGGAACACCCAGGCCTGGTTCGCATCCTGAAGTACAATGATACATGTTTCTCTTGCGGTAGAGTACCTTAGTTGTTAGCCTTCAATCATGGGCCCCCTCATCAGTTCGCACCTAGGGCCATCCTCATGCCGATTCCTGACCCCGATCATACCTTATAGATTTCCGACGCCGTCAAGACCAGAGCTGCGTGCGAGCTACCTGCCAGCAGCAAATGACGGCGGGGAGCTTGGCCTGTCAGCGATGGCGACAGGCACGGTAAGATTACGGCCGCACCCTCCTCCTTAGTCCACTGACCACCACCCCCCCCCCCCCTCCAGCAGACCCTGGCTCTTTCCCTCATTCCCAAATTCTTCGGTTTTTGTCTGGCAGGTGCCAGGCCCCTTATCCAGATGACCATGATTTTGCTTGACGGCGCAGTTTCACCTTTCCCCCTTCCGCCGCTACCTTATTCTCTCGCTTCCTACCTCACCTTTCTCGTTCGGTAAGCTCCGTGTCACTTGCGTTTTTTCTCCTTCTTTTTTGCAACATTTCACCTTTGCAAGTCAAATTCCTAGTGCATCAGGTGTTAGAGGGAATAAGACCATGGATTTCCATTTGCTTACTTTCCTCTTGTCTTCCATCCACCCCCGTGTCAACTTCCCAGCATCATATACCACTTGGCTTTGTCCAGGAATCTCTAGACGCACCCCTTGCGAAGCCAATTGACAAGGGGAGGAGAGAGTGGAGGGAAGGTATTGCCGTGAAACTGAAAAGGGTATCCCTGCAATTGCCAAGGTGTGTATTTATTTGCAAGGTGCGAAAGAGGTGGAAGGACGGAAGAACAGAAACAAAAACGAAAAGGAACCAACCTTCCATCTGGCTCAGTGCTTGGCCATGTGTTGTGCGAAAATGGGGAGTTGACCCGGAGTCCGAAATAGCAGAACACTAAGGCAGGGTTCCAAGGCTAGATACCTGTGCAATGTCAGATCCGCACGGTCGGCGGTGGCCAGACCTGACAGATTGGGCGATGTGCACGGTACATGCTATAGATCTACACATTTGTTTACGTCTGTACATTGCCTACTCTAGCACTACTTTTTTTTCCTAAAGAAAAAAAAAACAAGCATGCTTTTCACTGTCAGAAGCCTCTCAGCGAAGCCCCGATCTCCCTGACCCTTGATTAGAGGTATGCACGTAAAGGGTCCATGGAAGAAGCTGCTTTTGCTTTACGGTCGGCATGGTATGTCTCCCCTCTCCGATTGTTATCCGCACCTTGACCTGCTCCGGCGCGAGATGAGAATTACACCTAGAGGTGGTCGATGACAGAATCTTCAACGGGGCGGCAGAGAGGAAGCGAAACAAGCATACCTTACGGACCTTACCTTGCGTTGTGGAGGGGCGGATTCGTGCCTTGGGAATCTGCATGTCACTTTCGAGTCTCGGGTCGCACGAGTCTCATTCCCCTAAGGGAACCACGTATGGCAGTGGACATGGAAAGACAAACAGCTCCCACCCTCCCCTCAAGGAGATCTCCTTGACCAGGAGGTATTAGACCCTGCGCTATTTGAGGAGGGGCCCTGTTTGTAAGTCGGACAGCTCTGGTTCGTAAATTCCCGAGGAGCGGCAGGCCCCCGCCAGCAGTGTTCCTGGCGGCCCACGGATACTGGAAGGCAGAGCCCCTCCCTCACTGAGTTGAGGTGGACTTGGGGAAATTCCCCCGCCGCCGTGCATGACCCTGCCAGGTCGAGCCAGCGATGACAGACACTAGCACGTTGGCCGTCCTTTGCATCGACCACTTTCATTGGCTCTTTGCGACTTTCCGCCGTCACTCACCCAACATTACCACCACCACCCGCGTGCCATTTCTACCTCCTTCGCTTTCCACCACCGCCGCCCTGTTCCTCATTACTTACTTACTCACTTCGCACTTTCTCTGGCCTCCCTCAAACTCTTCACTCCTTCAAGACGTTTAGCTTTGGCAAGTAAAGCTTCAGTTACATCGAATACAAAGCAACATCTAATCTCGAGTCACTACCAAAAGTTGTCTCTTCCTTACAGCTCCCTGACACCACAAGCAACGTCCCCCGGCAAACATTACGACCTTTCTACGCCCAGCCAGTCTGCTGCTTCGTGGAAACTTGAATGGCTCTAGAATCATTCTACCGATCGTACCGACACACACATTCACTTGCAAGCGCAACTTGACTTACCTTTGCAACCCGCAACGCAACGCAACGCCGGGGCCAACAAGATCCAGCATGGCCTCTATCGCACCCCAGCAGGGCTCAGCCAAGTCGTAAGTACCAGATCTCGTTCTTGCACTCTTCCATAGCGCTACACCGCACGCTGCTCCATGAGCACCATGACTTCTTCTTGGTATCTCAGCATCCCTCCCCAAATGCAGCCCTACGACACCTCGAGGGCGAGTATGCCATGCCGGCTCGCATGTAGAGGCATGGCATTCACTCATTCCTGGAGCTTTACCACCGCCGTGAGCAAGTATGCTATGCCGACTAGAATGTGTAGGCACGGAATGCATAGTTTCCTGGGGCTTTACCGCCATCGTTTGCCAGATTCGCGCACTGAGCAAAGCTGCTCTGGGTCCCGCAGGTTCGCAGGTTTGCATACGGTACTGAAGCCAGCGCTCAAGGCCAGCTCGACGTCAGGCATGCCGCAGCTTGAGTCTTGTGCTGGGGAGAAGTTCCCTATCATCCATCATCCATTTCCTTCCTCATGTTTTATTCATTCGTTCGGTTGCGTCGTGGTTCGGCTTGGCTAATATCGGGGTTGCTTAGGGGTGCTTCGGCAAAACAGCTCTCCCAAGAGAAAGGAGCTAGAATTGGGGCTGCAGATCGCCTCCGGAACTTCGAGGAAGACATCGACCTTGAGTTGGTGAGCAGCGATCGTGCTGGGAATCGCGAGCGACTACAAAGCCGAATCGAGCGTGACGTTGACGCAGTCATGCTGGTTGACCAGCTCATTCCCCACGGCGCTGAGGCGGTCGAGGGAGATGCCCCGCCCAATCATAATCAGACAGAAGCCCTTCGGGGTGCTGGGGCGCAATTTTCGGAGTAGTGATGCAGTCGCCCTGAAATTCAAGTCAGTGTCGGCCGCAAATACTGCACCAAGGCGCCGCGACTCCTCATCATCATTCTGGTCGCCCCAACCTGCCCGGTCATCTCAACCTCTGGTGAGGTTCGTGGGGGTCGGTTTACGTGATGGCGTGGTCCGTGCCTGGGAGTTGCAGGGGTGACCTCACTTCCGAGGTCGGCCGTAAGCCCCACCCATTTCATGCCACACAAATGAGGCATCAACACCAAAACAAGGCCGGTCTTCGGGAAGAACCGCGCATCGTGATGAAGAGATGGAAACGAAGAAATGAGAGAGAGCGAGCGAGCGAGCGGTATGAATGGGTTTTCTTTCTTGTCTTTTCTTTCGGTGTTCAAGGAATGGTGCATGGCTATCTCATCTCATGTTGTCGATGAGAGGGGCTTGCCTGAGAGTCGCGTGTTGGATGGGATGCCGGGGATGTGATCGAGGAGGTTTGCATTTCCTTTCGAGTCTGTGTTATGATCTCTTCTGCGGAGTACAGCGTGGCTTCGTGGTCTTGGGCTTGGGATATCGGGAGTCAGGAGCTGGGCCATTTGTGACGCATGGTCGCTGTGGGTAGACTCTCATGAGGTGGCTGGGGGTTTCCATCTAGACTTCTAGAGGGTATGGATGAAAGCGATGAAAAAAAAAAAAGGGGGGGGGGGGGGGAAGGGGGGGGGGGGGGGGGAGGGGGGTGGGGGTGGGGGGGGGGGGGGGGGTGGGGGGGGTGAGGGGGGGGGGGGGGGGTTGATAGTGGGAGGGGGGAGAAGAAAAAAAAAAAAAAAAAAAGGGGGGGGGGGGGGGGAGAAGGCAGATGCGAGATGTAATGGAAGTTCGAGTAGGTAGTATGAAAATGAAAATAAGATGTCGGAGGAGAAAACTGATTGCAGTCACGGAGATGCCAGGTCATCTAATTGTAATCTGAGGGGATGCCCTACCTCAATGCTAGCCAATGAGAGGCCATATCTCGCGTCGCCTAAGCCATCCTCGGCGCCAGGAATCTTAAGCCCGACGCGTCCAACCTCAACAGCGTTTGCCTTTGAGGCATGCATAGGCATTTACCCTTCAAAGCCAATCACGTTGCCGTTTCGTTTCTTTGATGATCCATAAATCTCATGTGACGATGGTTCTTTCAATATTCAGTACAGTACGGATACCGATTCTGCGGACTTTGATGCCTCGACCCCTGCGGCATGGTGGCACTCCTTTTCTGCTTAATCACACAATCCAGATTTCATAAGATAAGTTACCTTGTACACTCTATGATGGGATTCGAGATCCAGCACGTCCCGAATCAGAAAAACGATGAGGTATATACCGTATATCCCGAGCTCAACTAACAAGCATCATCGTGTCAAGTCAATGCTCAGCAGTATGGGCTCATTCGACGGCACATTTCCTTCACATTTCTCATATCCCATTGATCAATACTTATGTACTTAGAAACTATGCCTGGTAATATCTCATGATCTTTGAAAGATGCCATCAAACCACTTCTGAATCTGCTCCGCCCCGTCATGACCAACCGGAGTAACAAGCCCAACATACCCATCAGGTCGCAACCCAACAACAGCACCCTTGCCCGAATCAATCCCATATTTCTCATACGCCCTCTCGGGCTCCTCATAAAACGTCTTACCATCGCTAAACACCTTGTCATAATCCCATCCAAGCTTACTATCAAACGGATGATACGCCTCATGCACATCCCTCAGTAAATCGATCTCGTCCCTCGGCGCAGAGTGCACGAGCACGACGTCAACAATACTCGGATCCGCGTCCGTCTTGAACTTGATCAGCCCGCTATGCGGATCCGACGCGGGACCTAACGCGATGGTCGGCAGCTTGGGCAGGTAGCTCGACAACCACGCGCCGAGGGCGTTGACGGTGTCGCGCTGGGAAGGTTGGGAGATGTCGCCGCCAAAGACTACGAGGCGGAAGCGCCCGTTGGAGGGGAGCTTGTGGTGCAGTTCCCAGAGGCGGGCGTCGGACTGGCGGATTACCTTGTAGGAGGGGAAGCGCTGGCCGAGTTTGCAGTTCGTGGCGAGGGATTGGGTGCTTTTCGCGGTGCTCTTTGTGAGGGTGTTGGGTAAGTCGTCTTCGGTTTCTGGGTCTGCGTCTGCTTCTTTGGCGACGAGGACTGTTGGTTGGTAGTTTACGCCGACGCCGGTTGTGAACTGTGATGCTCTGCGTCAGCTTCATCGTCACTCGCACTCACCCCTCATCTCAACACCGAGAACCGGGCAAAGAACACTTAAGTGGTGTTGATACATACCATCCGACTCGTATGGAACGCCTTCTGGAACACGTCGTCCGACACGCCCGTCTCGCTCTGGATGTCCTTTGGCGGTGCGCCCGTAAAGAGCTTGGAGAACTTGCCGTCAAAGGCGATGAGGTCCTTTGCAATCTTTTTGCGCTCGAGCTCGTACGTCGAGAGGACATCGCGCGGTAGGATGTTCTTGCACGCGAGGCCGATCTTCCAGCCGAGGTTGTAGCTGTCCTGCATCGATATGTTCATGCCCTGGCCGGCTTTCGGGGAGTGCGTGTGCACGGCGTCTGGATCATATGGTTTAGCTCCTGAAGGAGATGGATTGAGGGCAGAGGTATGGGAGCTTTGCTTACCTCCCGCGAGGAAGACGCGGTTGAGTTTGCTAAAGTGGTCGCCTGTTCGCTGACCGATTTGGTATGCCGTCCACCTAACAGCACGTCAGCGCCCATCCACCGCTACAAAAAGAACTTTTGCCAAACTTGCCAGTCGCAGTAGTGGTACTCCAGCTTATAGGGGCTGAAGATTCTTTGTGCAGACTTGAATATGATCTCTGGCGTGATCTGCGACCTGTCGACGCGGCCGCCACCCGCTGAGACCTCCTTGAGTTGGATGTAGAGACGAACCATCCTGTTTTCGCGAGGGATGATCATCAGTGCGCCGGCGGTGTTCTGGATCATGGTCCGGAATCTGATGTCGGCTATCACAAATTAGCATACCTCCGTTCGCGGTGTTGGATCCGAGCAGCTTACGGAAGTCTGTAATGGGGACGATGTCCATCACACCCCTGGAAAACACCGTCAGCTCAATACCTCACCACACCTCATCTCACACTCACTCACCAAATGGCATCAGTACTCTCTCCCTTCATCTCAAACTCCTTGCCTAGCGCCTTCCTAGTCCACGAATGCGCCCCATCACAGCCAACAACATACTTGGCCCTCACAACCTCATCCCTCGCCTCACGGCCCTTGGACCTATCCAAGATCCCCGCGACATCGTCCTCAGCCAAGTTACTCCGGAAAATGCCATCGCTAAGATTACTCAGCATCTGCGTGGGCGTCGCCTCCTCCTCCGTCAAGTGCCGCAGCGTCACCGTCACAGGATGCGCCTCCGGATCCGAGTCCTCGGCCGCGGCCTCGTCGATCTCGAGCGAGGTCGGGATGACCATGCGCTCGACCTGTAGTGGCGTCTCGTTGGACGGGTACGAGGCGCGGATGCCGTCGATGAAGAATTGCTCGATGCGCCCCTGGTGTAGGACGGATTCGGTGAAGCGGGACAGGCCTGGGATTGTGTTTACTGATTTTGCGCTGCGCTGGATTGTGCCGTTCTCGTCTGGGTTCCAGAAGCTGACCTCTACGGTTGTTGTCAGTGAAATCCAAGACCTAGGGTGTGAGGTGAGATTGGGATCTTACCGAGCATGCGGTTTGCTTCTTTCCACACGCGCTCTGCGACGCCGAAGCTGTCTAGGATCTCGAGGGATCTCACTTGGAAACTGTGATATATGTGAGTACTTGTCATGTCATAGAGGAGGGCAATCCCTTTACCCATCTGCTTGGCCAGAGTAGACCTTGGCGGTCCTCTTGTCAACAATACGGGTCTTCACACCGAGTCTGGATAACCAGAGAGCCAGCATAAGCCCAGCAGGGCCAGCCCCAATGATGAGGACGTCGACCTTGCTTTCTGGAAGTTCAGTCATGTTGTGCACCACCAGGAGTTTAGAGATTCAGAACAACAGTGATGGGGAACAGGTGAAGTAGATTGTTCGAGAAGTAGGATAGGTGAGTTAGACTAGTAGTGGTTAAACAATACTAATTCATATATGAAATACGGCAGGCTTTGATTTCCCCATGATCGCGGGCGGATTTACCCTACGCGGGGGCAAGTCCACGGATTAAAGCTTCTTCGGAGCATCATCTGGATTGCGTGTAGCATCATTGGACGTCCACCTATCCGCAGAAAACTGCCGCTGGGAGGCTAAGGTTTTGGGGGAAATAAGCGATGAGAAAGCATGACAAAGAGGGGGAGGGGCCGAAGGGAGGGGCACAATTGGGAACCTCAACCCAAGGTAACTCACGGACGTCATCGGGGGATGTGGGGTAAATCCCCAATGCAGGGACTCACTCAGTTGAGTGAGGTACTGTGTCACTGTATAAAGTACTAAGGTACTTTGTAATGCGGCCGCCCTGAATGGACTGCCACACTGCATCGGGCTGCACTTCATCTCAAGACACACATGGCATGCGCGGGACGGTGTGTGCATGCCACACATGTATGGACGGGAGTACCTCGAAATGTGGATGCAAGCCGCCGCATTCTGGCTTTCCCTGTGGAGGGGTGCGTTTCCGTAATTCCGCTGTGTAAGCGGTATCTAATACGCCACTGGCAGGTGCGGATATTGAGACGCCTCTGCCTTACACAACGAGGTATCTTTCAGCCCACCGGCTACAATTATCCTAACTTTTTGCTTCACAAAGCTAGATACTCCTCGGACCTTTTTCTAGAGTACCGGTAAACGATATCCATGTTATCTATTTCATTCAACGCCCGGCCCGGCCCGCCCGAGATCGCGCCGGACTCTCCACACCCTCGACCCCACGGGACGCTTCTCGTGGCCCTGGAGGACCTCGATCCACGGCGTGTCGCTAATGTCGCCAGCAAGCTCGAGGTTTTCGGGCTCCTCGTCTGACTTGTCGCTCTCAGTGTCCTCGTCCATGACTTCCACCGTGTCATACTTGGAGTTATCTACATCACTGCCGTTGAAAGACTGGTAGTACAAGTCTTCACTGTAAGCCCAGCCGGGGGAGTCGAGCTTGCCGTGGACTAGCAACAAGTGGTGGCCCGCTGCTTTGGCTGCTTCGATGCGTTGCAGGGGAATGGGCGTGAGGATCTGGAGAGCGCCAGTCTTTGTGTCGATGCCTCGCAATAGCACCTGGCCCAGTGTTTGCGCGTATCGTGGATCAAGAGTTTGGGCATCGGTGTTTGGGATATAAGGGATTCCCTCAGGCGTCCTGGCGATAATTGCCTCCAAGTCTAATGCGACACCATCAACGTCCATCACGTCAGCGCTTGATGTCACAGCGGAAGAGTCAATGCTCTCTCTAGCTAGACGAGTGAATGCCCTGACATCCTCGGTCTCGACTAGACACAAGATAGACCCGTTGATGGTCTCTGCGAGAAGGTCTGCCGGCGGTTGGTACTCATAACTTATGATCCCAGTGATGCCGCGGTTCTTCCCCTTGTAGCCGACCATCAAAGGAGGCGATGATGAAAGCGGAGTAGGGTTCCACAGCAGCTGATTCGACGGGTTTCTCTTGGTGTGGAAATACGCCAACGCCTGCATCGAACGTAGATGTGCAGCAGTTCTAGAAGTGAATTCTGACTGCTGCGAGGGAAGCAGCGTAAAGGCCGTCTTACACGCCGCTTGCAAGCCTTCGACGGTCTCCCTAGGGCCGTCTTCGGACATGTAAATGACCTCGGCTGGCTTGATCGTCGAGACGAGCTCACTTAGTAGGTCCAGCCCTGTTCCCAAGACCCAACCCGGGGTGTTGATGATCAACGGCAGCCCTTTACATGTGTCTTGATAGCGTTGAAACAGATCGAGTGCGCACTCCAGATACAGCTCTGGATCGGAGGCAGGTGATACCGAAGCTATTGAGTGACATCTCATAACGGTCACATCCTGCTCGTTCGCCGCAATGCGGGCAAAAGATGGACTCAAGTTGGGTTCTCTGACCTGAACCAAGGCGATTGTACCTGCCGGAGTATACTCTGGCTGCCCGGGATCTAGCTCCATCATAACGACTGATGGTGGTGTTTTCCGGGTTCGAGTCTGTTGGCCAGCGCCCGTGAGCAGCCGGTTTCCCAGTATACGGCCAAAAGTGGATTTGCCGGACGATTTGGGGCCGCAAAGCATCACGCTGAGGGCAGGCTGGTCTGGTTTCGCCTTCGTTAGCCCCGCCAATTTCTTGTTCCAGGCGGGATGCGATCGCAGATCTTGGATCAGAGCTCGCTTCGGCGCGTCTTCAGAGGTACAAATCTGTGCAGTATTAGTATGTGATGGATTCGAGCCGTCCAGGATCTTGACTCACAATCTTGTAGGTATCGGTCTTTGCGCCTAATTTGCTTGCTTTGCCCTCAGGCTCATGCCACAAACTTCGGAAGAGAGGCGAAAGCCGTTCAAGCTTGCGCAGACTTGCACCCTGGGGATGAGGATGCAGTTCAAGTCTAGTCTCCTCCGAGCAGCGCAGCACGGGGATCGCATGGCAGTGAGGGGCATGAACCCATTTGATGCCGTCTGGAGGTCGAACGCTCGCCCCTGCTATAGTGATCTCACCATCGAGGACCTTGATACCATAGCTTCCGAGCACCAGGAAACGCTTGACTTGTCAATGAAACAACTAATATCGCATACAAGGAAGTCTTTACCTCGCTGTCATGAAGTCTTAGCTCTAGAATGCCTCCTGCCACTCTGCGAGAGTTGCTCTTACTCGGCCTGAACGTCGAGAACTGCTGAGGTCCAATCTTTGACGGGTTGATCTCGTCAGGATCTGCGGTAGGGCTACTGCGAAGTCATCAGAGGGGGCTCTCAGGACGAGGTGGAGAGGTTATACTTGGATTCTGTCGCTCCTGCTATTGGCGCAGATGCACTCTGCTCCAGCTTCGACTGTGGCGTGTGCTGGATTGCTTCATCCTCGGCAGAGGCGACCCTTTTTGAGGATCTTCCTTTCGCGGGAGACCGTACTTTGGGTGTGGGCGTGGGAGTTGATACTTGAACATCAGGGGCCGGCTGAGATTCGGCTTGAGGTGCTGGAGACAAGGACGGGCTCGCTGAAAGCAATTGTTGCCTCAAAGCAAATGCGCTCATTGCTATTCGGCTGTTAGCCGTTTCTTAAGTGAAAACGATGTTGCAAAGCACCACAAGAGGTGACAACTAACGCCTTGAGCCCTCAGATGTCTCGACCTTCCGTCGCTTTGGCGTCGCCATGTTCGGTTTCTCTGGTAGCAATGGGGGAAAGTCTTCTACAGTAGTATCGATATCAAAGGGGAATCTTTCAAAGACTGGTCCCGTGCAACGGCAGGAGAGATGTTGATTGTGCCTGCCGAGCAGCTACACCAAGATAACCTCAGGAAGGCACAATCCTTCCCGACTTTGCTCAAACGGTACCTTAAGTACGTTACGGTTCCTCTCACAGTCTGGATGAGGCAGGTAGCCACCCCGTGTCGTGACTGCCTTTTCGCAAATTACCTTCTTCCTGCACCTTGCCAACGCCAGGTCAGCTTTTCTTTTTTTTCTTCTTATCTCAACTCATTGCAACCTCAACTGGCCAAACTCACACGCAGAATTTTGCTCAATTTCTACCACAGTCAAACTGACAACACCTCATTCAATAGAGCACTGTGGGCGTCAATTCGAAATGGCAGGCGAATCCGTCGGACTCCGCGATCGCGATATGAGATTCGGAGGTGAAGCTCTCACACCGAAAAACCGCGCTGGAAAATCCTTCATGCGCATCCGGACACCCACGCCGACGCCAACGCACTTTAAGTCCCCCGGAAGCGCGGCAGGCAGGCGGGTTAGCTCTCACCGCGTCGCGGTTCCCGCTACCACCGCGACCCCACCTCGGGTCTGTGCGATCCCTGCAAAGATTTCTGAATCTTTGCGAGACCCTCGAAAAATTCCTGTCCCAGCCATTCCCGCCGCTTCGACGCCCTCAGTTCCTTCTACGCCATCATTTCGCCTTGTCTCCAGAAGCACATCAGGCACGATGTCGTCACGCAAGCTTGATGGCGTTCACTCGCTGAGCGCAATTCTCGAGAAGCAAGGCCAAGAAGTCGCAAAGCCCAAGAGCAAATTCGCTCGAGGCACGCAGGCCAAGAAGGCCGAAAAGTTCGACCCTCGTGCTCAGGAGTCCGATTCCGACGACAGCTCCAGCAACAGTGACAGCAGCGACGATGATGGTGGCTCCGTTAATCCTGATTTCTTCGCCAAGATTAACGGTCAGATGGCGTCGAGCAAATCTGCCAGCACTCCTCTGAAGAAGGCCAAGCGCGACAAGGCCGATGAGGTTGCCGATAGCGACGTCGAACACAAGACCTCCAACGCGAAGCCCTCTGCCACCAAAAAAGCACCAGTCAGGCCCGAGAGTTCTTCCGAAGAGTCCTCAGCGGAAGAGGCGGCGGCCGACACAGACTCGTCCTCAAGTGACAGTGAGAGCGAAAGCGAGCCGACTGCGAAGAAGCCAGTGCAGAATGCCACAAAGAAGACGCCAGTTGCCAATGGCGCGTCAACAACCTCTTCCAGCGATTCTGAGAGTGATTCCGAGAGCGAGGTCGAAAAGACGACCAAGCCTAAAGCCAAGCCCGCGGTCAATGGTGCGAAGGCAACCAAGCCGGCCTCGACTAGTTCGAGCGAGGCAAGTTCCAGCAGTGGCGAGGAGAGCGCAGAGGACGAGGAAGATGCAGAGGAAGATTCTAGTTCTGATGAGGAGGAAGAAACCAACAAGAAGACTGCCGCTGCTGTTGCCCCCAGACGTAACAGCAAGGACCTCAACGTTCCTGGATTCGTCGGCAAGGATTTCGTTCTGAGACAGGCGCAAGGCGATGAGGATGGCAAGGATATGACCGACTTCTTCACCAAGGCCAAGCTCGACGGCAAGCAGCTCTGGTACTTCACCGCGCCCGCTTCCATCCCCATCAACATTGTGGAGAAGCTTCAGATTCCCTTGGACAAGGCGCACAAGGGAGACACCATTTTCAAGCACAACTCGGAGGACTACACTGTCGGCTTCGACGTTGGTGCCACTGCAGTAGAGCTTCTCATTCCCAACAAGAAGGGCAATCGCTATGAGACAGGTAAGGAGGACGGAACAAGCGCATTAGGTCAAATTGCTAACGCCGCAGCTTAGCCCCCAGGAAGGTCGACAAGGTTCTGCATGTCAAGCGCGTGACCCAGTTGGTTGGTAGCGAGCCCAGCGCTCCCAGGCCCGTTCAGCCAACCCTTCCTCGTCCCCAGCCGCAGGGTTTGAGAGCTCGCTTCCACCCTATTGGTGTCCCCGATGACATTCCGATGGGAAAGATCGGCTTTGACGAATCCTCCGACGAAGATGTCGAGATGACCTCGACACCTGCTCTGCCGACTCGCACCAAAAAGTCTAAGCACACATCCGCTCCCGCAGCTCCGGCAGGTGATGCCATGGATATCGACGAGCCTACCCCCAAGAGCTCGAAGAAGGATAAGAAAAAGTCCAAGGTCGCTAAGGATCCTGTCGAGGACTCTCAATCTACCATTATCGAGGTACCCAACTCGCAGCCTCTGCCCACGACCAAGGAGAAGCAGAGCAAGAAGCGACGTGATAGCATCGAGTCCATCTCGAGTGTGGGATCCAACCCCAAGCCGACTCTTGCTACTCCCAGCCAGTCCAAGAAGGCATCTAAGCGCAAGTTGCCCACAGACGAGGAATCTACCCCGGCCCAGTCATCCAAGGAGAAGGCTAAGAAGGTCAAGCGTGACGCTTCATCCCAGGATACTCCCGCTCAGGGCTCGGTGAAGAAGGTGACGGCCATTCCCCCGCCGACCGTTCCCAAGCCCGGTTTTTCCTTCTCGAGCCTCCCCGCTGCATCCAGCCCGGCCCCCGAGACCTCGACGCCGAAGCCGAAGTCGAAGAGCTCCAAGAAGTCCAAGGCTGATGAACCTGCTTCGACCCGCAAGGAGACACCTATTCTTCCACCCAGTGTTCGTCGCGAATCCGCTGTTCCAATTCCGCAGATCCCCTCCAAGTCATCTCCCGCAGCCGAGGAGACGCCCAAGAAGGAGAAGCGCAAGAAGAGAAAGTCGGAGAAGACAGACGAGCCCAAGTCAAGCAAGAAGGAAACGCCCGTCCCGGTGCCTGGCGCCTAGAAGTCCGTCAGTTTCGGAAAGAAGCCTTTTCATCAGCCCTTTCGACATGGCTTCAAGTAGCCTAGCTACTGTCATCAATGATGCTCGCGCATCATATTAAAGTTGCCCATAAAACCTGTCAGAGTATATACACCGGTTGCAGAGCCGTGCGATTTGGCTTTGCCGACCATGTTTGCGAGCGAGCTTACTCGTGGAAGCTCGCAGATACCAACTTGGTCCACTTTCTTTTTCTTTCTTGCATGCATTGTACCGGAGGGAAAAGTACACACTGAGTTTTGAAGACGTAGTCTACGGTCTTACCCGCTCACACCCCCTTCGCCACGAGCTTTGTCTAGCTCTCGCTCTCCTTGCAATGACGAGGCCTCTGCATCTTTAGAGAGCCGCTCTTGCAAGCCAGACTGTACGGAATGGACGAGGCCCAAGTGTTCGAGAGGGGTTAGGCTATCATTGGCTTTGTTTTTATTCGTTTCAGGCGTTGGATGGATCGATACCTAATGTATGTCCCTCGTATGCGAGGGTTTCATGCGGGTCACAGACGCGGAGGAAGATAGAGAGTCTGGCTCTTGGCCTGCTAGCTAGCTAGTCGCAATGATGACGAATGATCAACACTTCTTCAGTGTGCCGTGACGTGACTTGCTTGAGTCCATCATAAACGGCATACTAGATTTTTTCACGTTCCAAGCACGAATAACATTGAATGTCTTTCTCTCTCTCTGTCTCTCTCTCTCCACGGCTCTGTCTCTCTCTCTCTCCACGAAACCACGGCAGACTCGAGTTAACACAGTGTCTTGTTGGTATTCTTGTCCCAATCACAGTACGATATCCATACTTGAACTGCCGCCAACAATGTCGCCAGCGTCCCCGATACGGCAGCCACTACAAGCGCGGCGATGGCGCACTTGTATGTGTGCCGGTGGGACTTTCTCCGCTCTGCGTATCTCTCCCACCGTGTCGTCGGGGTCGGATCATCGACTTCTTCCAGTAGACGGGCCAATTGGGGGGCCCAGTATGGGAAATCCTCGTAGAGATCGTGTAAAGTCCGGGGAGGGTCTTGCTTGGAATGGTCGATGGAGGGGTTCAAGAGGCTTTCGTCTAGTCTTTCACGCTTAACCCATTCCCGTAAGAGCTTCCTAGATTTGGCATTTCCGATGGGCGGGAAGAGGAGGTTGTAACTTCTCAATGTCTCATCGATGAGCTTTGCAGGTAGGCATCCTCTAGATTACCACATGAGTAAGACGGACATTGGTGGTGATCTCGCCAGGTACTCACAATGCTAATGCCTCATCTGTAGAGTGGCTCAGATCCTGGCGGATTACGCTCAATATCTCCCGACTATGTTCGAGGAATGCTCGGTGAGAGAAAACAAGGAGGGTCTTATTCCCTGGGCTGTGTCTGAGGTACAGGTGATCAGAAAGCTTTTCTGTTTGTTGGATCTTAATACCAGCGTCCCTAGCTAGAATGTGACATCTGAGGTTTTTCAAGTCGATGAGGTCTTTAGGAATGTCCATCGATGTTGACTGGGGATAGATTCGGCCCAAGTAATCCGTCAATGTCTCGCTCTGAGCCCACCTGAGGACGTTGCCGCTCCCAATAGCTGCGGTGCCCTCCGATTCGCACTCCGTCATGAGCATTGTGCGGACGGCACAATCTAGGTATGCCAGTCTGCTCAGGTTTGGTGACATCCGGCTCAGAATCTCATCTTTCCGGACTGCGGGCCTCGATCGGAGTAGTCGTATGGCTCCTGCTATCTCATTTGTAGAGTCCCCCGTCCTCGGTTGGTCGATACAGAGTGACAGCCGCTGCAGCGCGCAATGATCAAGGAACCTGGCAAGGTGTTTCTCTTGGCTTGATTCGCATGGCCCCCAAATCGACTCTGCGATGATTCTATCATCAGATCGGTTGTCGCTATCGGCCATCTTCTCGGGTGGAGGGCATTGATCATCGGCAGTATGTTAGCTTGGTAGCGTTGGTGAGGAAGAATAACGAATGCGAGGTGAGATCTGCGAGGTGAGATCTGCGAGGAAGGATTCCTGCTGAAAGGAATTTCGTTTGGGATCCGCAGACCAGGCTGAGGATCTCACGGCCAGCATCCTCGCTTTCGGTGCCACATGACTGCATTACTAGTGACACAGGCCAATTAATCCATTCGGTGTGACACCGGCCGCAGTGCATGAAATACGTCGCCCTGTGAAGTCTTGGTGTCTCACAGCCTCATTAGATCCCCAACCCCCATTTCTCGCGACTTCATCTCTGATGATTATCATTTATTACCAGAGATCAGCTGCCAGGTAGCATCACTTGTCTAGACCAATGCGATCGTTAACCTATTCCGCTCAACACGGCGATATCGACACCCTTCTCCAACAGATCTCAGCTCTAGATCCATAACCGAAGCAGTCATGGAAAAGAGCTGTACAGATTCAGAACCCCTGGAGGAGGGCCCCGGGTTCATTCTTTATGGGATCACTCTCTGGGTCGTCCAGATAGGTTTGGTCCGAATGGTTGCCAAAGCACCTATTCACCAGCCTGAACCTGTGAGGAAGATATTGATTTGCGACAACTCTAGTGGTAACAGCGACGCAGACGACGACTCGGTTTCAGAGAACGTGGTTGATCTTGGTTCCGCGGATGAAGAGACAACTCCGATTACACCTCTCCCAGCGGAACTACTGGAGCCTCAAAGTGTGCAAACTCCAACATTGGAACCTTCCTTCATGAAGCTTTCACCTGAAGACTCTCATCCCATTGATTGTCTTCCAGTAGAGTCTCTCCCAGTGGAACCCAGCCCAACAGAAACTCCTCTTGAAGCAAGCCATCCTGCAGAAACCGCTTCACCAGCGAAGACAACGCCGTTGACGGAACCAACCGCAACACCAAATCTACCACAAAAGCCTCGAAGAGTGATTCTGCGACCGGCAAGATTGAAGAGGCTTAGCCCTGAAGCAGAAGTTGACCCAAACACCGCATTCACATCGGAAGAAAAGGATGTCTTGAAGCGTTTCGTCACTACCTTGAGTGCTCAAAGACATCAACTCTTCGCTAAATCCGAGTTCATTCTGCCAACGATTGTGCCCAGCCTCGTCTCCATATTGTCTGCGTATGGGTCCAGTCAAACAATAGCAGCGACAGGCACGGCGGACGCGAGGAAAGACACCATAACCCTCATCCGCATCGTCGGTCTGAACAGGTGGGATGAGATCCGCTTCTTTCACAAGATCATGTCAAGGCCCGAGAATCGACATGTTTTCTCCCCACTCGATCTATGCTACCACAAGGAGCGAGTCCGTCGCACAGCTCTCGAAGCTGCGTGTGCGATTCGCGATCCGGCACAAGCCCGCACTCTCTGCGGCTGTCTGATCGTTGTCCAATCCTCCAACCTGGGCCAGCGGACGTCAACGATCGGCGGCCTTCTTTCGATCAGGGGCAAATACCACGCTCTTACAACGAGCCACGCCCCCGATGACGAGGATGAGCCTCCAGACAATTCGGTTGACGATGAGAGTGATTCTGATGTGGGCTCGCTCTTTATCTTTGATGGTGATATTGATAATGGCGATTCGGATTCGGTTACTTCCTTTGCTTCGGACGATGGTGAAAGCGCGAGGGGCGAAACCGCGGGACAGATTCACGAGACTGCGTCAATGGAAGAGGATGCCCTCAACGATGGAGCAGGATCCACAAGGGAAATGAAGAGTAAGGTCTCGACAGAGAAGGGAAAATCTACCGCAGAGCGTTCATTTGCAGACATGATACAAGCAACAAACGCAAGTCACATGAGGCCTGAAGACTTGACGACCAAGGAGGGATACATCACGTGCCGAATCGATGAAGATAGACTACGGAGCGGGAACGACTGGCTACTTGTACCGGTGGAAGCCAACCTATTGCTTCTAAATAGAATCCCAGATGGCGCAGGGAAACCACCAATGTGGCAGAATCCTTTCATCGAAAGCTACTGCCCTGATCTAAATCAGGTATTCGTGGACCACGATCATCCAGACACACCGCCGTCCCAGAAAACGGTATGGGCAGTTTCCGGAATGAAAGGGTTGGTGCGTAGTCATCTTTGCCCAAACTCTTCGTTCATGGTCTCGGGCGGTTGTGAAAGAGTGCAAGAAATTTGGACGGTTGAGGTAGAGGCCTCTAGTCGAGGTATGGCGTCCCGAGACTCAACCTTTCCCCAAGCATTGCAGCAATGGCCACTTTGCTAACCCCGATCTGTCAGGTTTTCAATCAGGAGATTCGGGCTCCTGGATCGTCGACGATAGATCAAGACGCGTTCTTGGCGTCTTGGTCGCTCGTTCCAGCGGTGTCGGATATATGGTCTCCTTTGCTAGTATTCGACAGGACATCGCTACCACGTTGCGAATCAGACAGACGTCGGTACAATTGGCCTCTAGAATGGACCCCTTGCTCCGCGGCCGCGGCAGCAGCACCGGCAGGGTCATCCGGTCCTTCTCCCCAGTCAGGTACACGAGGCGGGCGCCAGCCGCACAATCCTGGAGCCAGATGCTCTCAGGCGCCGCGGCAGCAACTCTCGATGTTGTGAGGCACCCAGTCGATCTTGGTCACAACCCATCAGTACTCGTTTTGTTCATTGCCACGGTGTACATGTCTCTCTTATGGGAGATTCCGTCCGCGTGGCGCTCGGTGACTACCTTACAGAATGCTCTAGTACCACCAGCGTGCGCCCTGCTCTTCTGGGCCCTCACCGAGCTCGAGATGCGACGCAGACCCACGACGTACAGCCGACATGATAGACTAGCCATTCGAAGAACTCTCTGCACGTGGCTCTGGATCACTGTCGCGGCTGGTCTTTTGGCTAGCTTAGGGATCTACATTGTGCGAGGCCCGGCCTCGAACCCTTTTACTCTACGTTCGAACGGGCAGAGAGTTAGCGATCAATCTATAAGGGATTTCAGTGACGCGATGGAACGTCTGAGGAGGTCGGACCCTCAGGCTCGGTACAATGCTTTCGAAGACGACTTGAGGGAATTGAACCTCGCTTTGAGACGTTTGGATTTCTGGGCCGTATACTACAAACTTAAAGACATGGTGTTGAGAAAGCTTTCGAAGCACAAGTGGTTGAGGCAACTGTAAATGGTTCCGCCGTCGAAGTAGAAATGAGGTCTAGAAGATGTGTTCGTAGAGGCCCACTGAGTAAACATGCAGCTGAATACTCTAGAGATGGTAATTGTCTAGTCACGAGGTTGTGGTCTCATACCCGGTAACGAAGCTATCTTAAAGGTATACACTATACCCACGTCGCCCGTACGATACTTGATCAATTGCTGTGCACAATGCTTGACAGAGCATGACCATCATTACCACCTGTAACTCTCTCCTACTCCAAGGCACTCATTGGGGAAATTCCCGAAATGTCGCAAACCATACTTGTCGCCTGGCCTTCGAACGACCCCGCTAAAGAGATTACGGGGGAAACTTCACGAAGAGAAAACGAAGAAACCCAAAACCCCCATGCCAAGAACCCTTGCTCGGCGAAGTGGACCCCCCGGCCGTCCACCCCCGGCGCCTCGGACCCTAGAATTCGGCGCAGCACAAATCCAACCAGGGAACTTTCACAACCAGAACCAGGGCAAAAGCCACCCAAGCAAACCAAGCAAAACCCGCAATTGAGAGCGGGGGTAAACTCATACGCTGGAATTTGCCGGACCCGATCGCTCGGGTCTTGGCTCTAGCGTCACTTGCTCCATTCCCGTTTCGCCGTTTCCTCCCAGTGCTCCCCTCAAGCCTCCAAGCCTCCAAGCCTCCGTGCCTCCGCTGCTTCTTCCCCTCTCTTCCTCCACCTTGTCCATCTAAGCCCGCCGTCTGCGCCATCGCAACGCCACAGAACTCTACAAGGCGCCATAAATCCTTGCCGTGTGTGCCGTGGTGGTGCCGTAGCTCCCAAGCCCGGCCGTGGGCCGCGCAACCTACTTGGCCGGCCGAGCCGGGGTCGGGTCAGCTGGGCAGGCGAGGGTCGAGAACGAGAGTCCATGGAAGGGGAAAAGATGATCTGCAACCACTCCATGTCGGAATGCGGGCGGGTTACCCTCACCTTGCCATCCTTTGACGTGAACTCAGTCCGAACTGAACTGTAGCAGACTGCAAAAGGCGAAACCTCACGGGAAAAAGTGAACATGTGTATCGAGAGAATAGGTAATCTCGTTATTCTTTCTTCACATCATCAACTACTTCAGTAGCGACTGCTCTACCTCTACTCGTGGTATACTCTTCCCCTTCATGCCTCCACATTACATAGGGCCCGCCTTCCTGCTGGTCGGGCGCCAGAGATCAACCTCCATCCCATCCTGGCTAGATGCCAGACGATATCCAGATTGATCTCGACATTGAACACATTAATATGTACGGGGGGACTCTATATCATCCCATGTCCCCCATCTCTTCCGTTGTTGCCCCTTCCCCGACTCCGTGGGTCTTTCTTCTGCTGTTGTGGTCATCCATGAGGCCGTTACTCCTAAGCCTGTCGAGATCGTTGCGTCTCCGGCTGTTTCTGTCGTTTGTAAAATAAACCACTATTGCGCCGTTGCTGTGCTTCTGATGCAATTGGTACAGGTAATGCAGAGTGGTATCCGTTTTGAGTGAAAAAAAAAGTGCTGATGATGAGAATTGAAAAAAGAGGTGATGGTTAAGGGGGGTGTTTGGGTTCATGGTTTCGAAGAATCGTCCGAGAGTTCTCAGTGCACGCTGCAGGGTTGATCCGGCGCCGCCGCCTTTCGGGTTCGCGGCACTGCGTGCTTTGTTCATCGTGTTTCTAAATAGGTCTGCGCGTGTGACGAGAGGTGTTTACTGCACAGCCACCTCTGTGAGCTGGGGGATTTCGTATCTGTCGTTGTCGGATCTGATCTCGATACTGAAAATGCTGCGACCGGATTCTTCGGAAAGGGCGGGGCTCAAACTTCCGCTACCCCGGCTAGATGTGCTATAGCTAGAGCTGCTGCCAACTGTCCACTCATCGCTGTCGGAGCTGCCGCGGCGCTGAAGGTATCCCATGTTGTACATCCGTCCGTACTCCTCGTCGAAAACCTTGGTCTGCTCGCCAATCTCAACGTAGTCGTACTCCCAGCGAGTCTTCTTGTCAGCCTGCTGCTGAGGCAAGTATCGAGCTTTGGCGAAGTAGAAAATTCCAGCCGAGAGCAGAGAGCCGCCAACCAGATCGACTGCGTAGTGGTGGTTGAGGTACATGGTTGCCCACCAGATCCATCCAACGTAAATGACGAACAGAGGGCGGAAGCGGGGGAAGCAGTAGCTCAGAATGAGGGCCTCCATGACGGCGTCCGCAGCGTGCAGCGACGGGAAAGCGCCAAAAGGAACCGGAGCGGTCGAGAAGCTGGTGGTGTACATATCGATGCCGAGGATAGCGTCAATGCGGGCCAGGCCAGCGGGGGATCCGGACATGCCGTAGGCGGCTGGGGCGAGGCCATGCTCGTTCTCGTACCACGGAGGAGTGCAGGGGAAGACGAGCTGGATGGTGACGCCGAGCACGTTCAGCCATCCGAAGCACTTGGCGAAGATCGGAAGCGTCTTGGGAGCGGCAAAGAGGAAGAGGAAGCCAGCGCAGATAAAGGGAGCGCCAAAGTGGCCAAGTCCGTACGGGATCCAGGCGAGAATGTCGAGAACCGGATGGGTGTGAGCGGACAGAATGTTGGAGAGGTTGGCACCGTAGAGGACGTTCTCGAGGGCGGGGAGGACGCGAACCCAAATGTGGGGGCGGTATTTCGCATCGATGAAGCTGATCTTGAATTAGCATTCGAGCCAGGCAGACTTACACCACAACCAAGTCGACTTACCGGCTACAAAAGAAATAGATGAGGTATGCCCATATACTCAAGCCCGGGAAGAAGAACTGGTTGGTGACGGGTATCGTCAAAAGCAGGAGGCCACCAGTGACGGCGAGGGTCTTGATTAGTGGCGCTGAGGGCGTAATGCAGAGCGAGAAGATGATGAGGGCGACGAGGATCGTGTACTGCAGGTCGAGGAGCCGCCACTTGTGATTTTGCAGTTTCCGTAATGTGTCGAGGGGGTTGAGAGACTTTTGCAGTGAAGTGACATCTTCGGCACCAGTGTAGTTTCCGGATGCGCGCTTCTTCTGATTTCTCTTTGCTCGACTGGGTCGGTATCGGTGGGGGATGGGATTGAGCTTGGCGAAGTTGAGGTTACCGGTCCATAGAGATGGCAGCGTGGGCTTTCCTTTCAGGAAAGTGCTGAAGTCCTGCATGGCTACTGATGCCCTCGGAGGGGAAGGAAGTCGAGAATCGCGACGCAATGCGAGGGGCGAAGTTGGAAGGTGTAATAGGTGACGGTAAAGAGGACCAAAGGGCGAGTTGGTCTTCTACCGGGGGTGCGTCGACTTTCCGTTTCTGACTAAAACCGAACCATCCAGCAGGCGTTGTGTGTGTTGTCTTGGAATCTGTCTTGCTCGCTGACCCAGCTACGTCACGTCGCAGTGAACCGTCCTGTTGGAATCCCTAAGATTCCTAATTCCACTGATGCTTCGAGTATCGGCGAGTTGGTTGGTATTCACCGGAGGAGAGGGAGGAAATAGGTGAATAATCAACGAGCAACCAAAGGACGTTGGAGGGAGCAGGTATTTGGAGAGGGAGGGGAGGAGGTCAAGAAGAAATGGGACAAGCGACAAAGTTACAGAAAGTGTGGATGACTAGATTGATATGTATGATGAGGCAGCGGAACAGGCGGGCAAAGCGGCAGGGTAAGGCAAAGTAGGTTAAGGTAAGGCAGAGACGGGATAGAGTGAGAACGGAGACAAGACAAGAGACAAGGTCCACGGTCCCAAGAGTTTTGCAGATGGAGGCCGAGCTTTGGGACAAAGTCGCTCTGGACCTTTGGACTCTTGGAAATCCATCTTTGAACGAAAAGTGTGTGGACTGACAAGTACCAAGGACACCCAAGACACAGCGGAAAGGTACCAAGACTGCCCAAGCCGGCCTACGGAAGCGGCGGGGACCGGGGTGCTTGTCAGAAGCCGAGAGATTTTTGGGTGCAGCGACTGCGAGGAAGGTGAGCCTTGGGGCTTGGGCAAGCAGAACCTGGTGGGTGTGGGTGGCCGTCGTTCTGTGGTGTGTGGAGTGTGGGCGACCTTAGTTTGCTCTCCGTCTCTTCTCGCATAGGACAATGAGGACCGGAGCGAGGTACCAGGGGGAGGAAGGGGAGGGAACGTACGAGTACCGTAGGTACCCAGACTGCCTCGCGACAAGGTATACGGTACGCGGACTTTGTCTCTTGAGTGGGCTGGCCGACGGGTTTGTAAGGTACCTGATCGTGGGTACGGAGTACGGAGGACCTTTGACCACCTTTCCTTCCTTGTGGGCGCGAGTCTCCCGTCCCTACACAGCTGACCGAGACCAGGGGAGGGGGGAACTGTCGGGCGGTATCCGTATGTGGTCCGTTTTGGTGCGTGGGACGCTGGGACTGGGCAAAGTGAAAAGTCCGAATCGAAAGAAAATGGAGCTATGATGCTCTGCTGCAGTACCTATTGCTTCATCCAGGTCAACCCTGGAGTCCCTTAGCATGCCTTTCTTGGCAAACACCAGTCTGAGTACCGAGTACTCCCGTCATCCCGCCCGCCCTCTCTCCGTCTGTCCTTCGGCCACCGCCGACTGCGTCTTCCACTGCGTCTCTTACTGCAGGTATATTCGTGCTTGTATTGTTCTCCGTACCGTGGTACCAGCCCGACTGCGTCTAAATTTGTAGAATACCGCCCAGGTTTTGCTTCCTTCTTTCGCTTTGCCATATGAATACTCCATACGCGGGATTCAAAGAATGGGCGCGGCATGGCAAGGCAGATGCCAAGTGGACGATTCTCTGCTGTCTTTCCATCATCCTTCCCTCAGAAATGATAACCATGGACTGGTTGGTCGCAAGTTTTGCTGTCATGATTTGCTATCGAAAAGCTGGTAAGCTTCAGCGCCGTCTCTGCGAGGTCTCATGTCGATCTTTCCGGGGTGGATGAAAAGACGATGCTTGTGCTTTGCTGTCTCTGTCTGCATCTGTGATGACTGACCGACTGACTGCTCGATGACTGACACAAGCTGGGCAGGTGCCGTAGCAATGGAAGTACACGTACTTGCGTATTTTGCGTATTCACCCATGCCGGTACGGAGTAGTGGATTCCATTGTTGCTTGCCCATTGGGGGCCATCGCCAACCTGGGCGGTAGAGTGGGAAAATAGAATCACACGTAGCGCAGTGAGAGAGAAAATGAGAGAGGAAGCTCGGATGCTGCGGCTCGGGTATAGGTACTCGTACTGATGTGGCGGGGCATCTGTGGTACATTGAGAGGAAGTCACCAATGGCTTCTAAGTTCTGCCCTTTTCTTTGGTGAAAACACTGGAAAATATGGAGCGAATAGGCGCACGGGCTTATCTTGCAAGAAACGAGTGCAGGGATTGGGCGATGCGCACCTCACCTCCCTGCAGTTGATCGGGCAGGTGGCTGCTCTGAAAGGTACGTATCTTCAAGTACTCCTACCTTACTCCCGTCGTGCCCCGTTCCTTCCCAAGTCCGCTGGCGCTGCTTGTGACGCGGGCGGGAAGGAGCATCTCTGGCTTTGTGGGCGGGCGGGCTTGCCTTACGTGATGATGCGCTATTACCAGCCGGTAAGGAGAAGAATTCTGGGTGACACCGGGATGATCCAATTTTTTTGCTTCGATTTTTTCGTTAGTCTGCCTGTTTTTTTTTTTTCTCTCCGCCCTCGTCTTCGCATTCTCTTGTGGATTACAGATCAAAACTCCGAGGTCAGAAACACAGCAAAGGTCGTTCCCACGCATCCATCTACGGAACATCTCCGTGGTGGATCGGGAATTAGTGAGCTGATCTAGAAGCTGTGGTCTGTTCATGTTTTCTTCTATTTGCCTAGCGGCAATCTTATTCACGAAGGCTCTGCTGTGCTGATAAAATATTCCCATTGTTCGCGAAGACCTTATTGCTGACTATCTCAATAGGACAACGACAAGGAAATGGGTTCGTCTATTCAATCGCGGACGGCTTCATCTCGAGTCCATCCTGAGGCCCGCAAAGTCCACCCCCGGCCCCCGTCAAGGTCGACGCGCGATAGACTTTGCGGTACCTAAATTACTCTCTCCCACTTGGCGGCGTTACCTGCACCCGAGCAAAAGTCGCAGAAAGACAAGACGTGTCGCGTGCTGATGATGACCCGGTCGACAGGGCTGATGATTCCCGGTACAGAGCACACTTGTCACTATGTACGAATTAACCCGTCCCAACAATCTTGTTTGACGGTTTGACTCGTCCTTCCCACCGCTCACCCCGGGGGACCGGGGCTTTTACCAGCAGCCCAGCAAAACGTGTCGCACATCCAGCAGGAAGAAGCAACGGGATGGCACTTTGACATATACGTCTACGGTCTTCCTTGGTCTGGCCGCTGTCCACCCCTGAAAATAAAATCATCTCGGTGAAACAAACAACTGCTACTCACCCGATTTTGAGATTATCGTCATCATTGCATCGTCTCCAAGTACCGAGCCGAGGCCCCCTTCGTCGCAGGCTCGCAGCGAGGTTTGCCATGCGGATTATCCGTACTGTGTAGGTCAACCAAGAAACAGCGAGGCTGGGAATTCCCACATACGAAGTACGGAGCCGACGCCGGTACATCACAGTTCGGGAATTGCATGTCGACGACGTAAATCTCGGTTTCGGAGGCCTATCGGCGTACGGTAGCTGCAACCGCCGACATTCAGGGCCGTTCTCGAATCGGCGCACCACCAAGGAATAATCGCGCGGCCGCACTCGTGAAGTTCAGACTTCAGTGGCCCGCGCGGGTCATTGGGCCGGGACGACGGCGCCATCGAGGAGTCATGGGGAGGGGGGCTTGCGACTCTGGGTGAAAGCAACGGACGGTACAATCGGGCTGGCCGCTGGCCCGTCGATGCCGGCGTCGATGTGAATCAGATTGGGTGGCCTGACGAACGGCGTTAGAGAGCGTCACTGTCAAAATGGGGCTTGCAGTCGGTGGCTTGAATTGGCTTCGAACTTAACCAACACAACTATTCGACCCCTTCCCTGAAGGTCCCTTTTTTTCAAAATCCCATTGCCGGACGCGCTTATCTAATCCATCGGCCGCCGTCGCCGGCACCGAGGCTCAAAGACGGAACGCGAACGAAGGGTATCCTGCATTCCTTAGCTCTGTGGTTCCAACTTCCGCCCAAAGTCCACCGCCGCGAAAGGGGAGGGGGAGGGGAAACGAAAAAAGGGACCTCGAACCCTTAGACGCTAGGATGCCAGCATCATCGAGGCTTCATGATAATGGCATCACCCTTGATGTGCCTCATATAAGCGCCAAATGAATGTCATCTCAAGTTTTGCAAGTCGGGAGACGGGGGTTGTAGGACAAACAGAGAACAGGCCAGATCATGATGATGCAAGATGTCAATGGAACACCCACGCGAGGCGCCGCATCAAACAAGCGACCTTACCTTCGCCTCTCTTTACCGCCAGTATCGTCTGGCACTACTGCGTAGCACATACGCAATCGCACGCGCAGGCAGGGATGGTAGCGATGCAGTCACGCAGAGCCACTGAACCAGAGCTCAGAGGGAGCCGACCAGGCCAAATGCGAAATGATTGGGGGTCGAGGTGACGACGACTCGTTCTCTCTTATTCTTAGCGCGCCCCGGGACTCCAGGCTCAAGCAAGCGTAGCCAAACGATGCCGGCGTAGCCTCGTCCGCCGCGAGGTTGACTGACCAGGGGAGGAAAAGGAACCAGCGAAACCGAGCGGAAAGCGAATGGAGCAAATCTGGGCAAGCTCTCTGAAAAAGTCGGCCGAGTGAAAGGAAGCTGGAAATGAAAGACTGCAATGTGTGGTTGGGTGAGCATGGCAGCCATGGCTTTCCCGAGCACTGGCCACTGGGGCAGCAGTACTCGGATCGCTCGGTGTCGAAGAGACAAAGTACCTCTTGAAAGTACCGGTACCTCCGTCCTGCCTCGGGCGAGCCTTGGAAAGGTACCTTACCTTGGTACCCACTTCTTCTTTGAGCTGTTGACTTCAGTTTTTTCCTTCCAATTTTCTGAGTCTTCCTTCCTATGCCCCCCACTTGGCGGACGACGTTCCTGGACTCTCAACCCCACTGTCGTCATGAATTTCTCCTTTGCTTTCCCCTCCCTCTGGTAAATTGCTTACGGAAGAAATCTCAAATTTCCCACATCGCTTAATCCCGGATTCCACTTGTTTCCCGCGCGACCGCTGTCCGCCCACCGACAAGGACGCCGCTGCCCGACGCCTCAGGAGCCTCAGTAGCCTCAGGAGGTCGGGGTCGGTCAAGTTCACTCTTCCGTTTCCCGCTTGCTGATCTCTCTCTACCGTAGAGACCCAGGCCTGGCGATAATTTCTGACCCAGGCCCGGCGATAATTTCTGTACGGATGTCATGTACGCGAGGTGCAGATACGCAGTACACGGGTAATACAGCGGCAACACTACCACGTCCACCAATCCAGCTTGAGAGTTTAGACATATGGAAGACCTCTAACGGTCTGTGACACTCAGATTCCTGTCTCTGCCATAGAGTACGGAGTAGTGTACAGTCCATTACAGTATGTTCCGGCCGACGTGCTCCGCACACGGACAGTCACGGCCGTCACTACGATGGGACGATGCTCTACACATGGCTCGATCGGGACTCGAAGGGGGCAGACGCATTGCACAATGCAACCAAGAGGGTTTTCTCACCTTTGCCTACAGCGAAACGCTTCACGCTCGAGGTCCTGCGGCCATGACAGGCACGTCTGCCATTCTAGGCCACACCATGCAGCACAGGCATACCGAAACCTCCCGGTGGTAACCCCTTCATACCTCGTTAGAATCAGATTGCAACACGCGCGAAGCCCAAAAGCGACATCTCGTGATCTCGCATCCTTCTCGCATCACTCCTCGCAAGCCGCAAACCCGCCCCCAAAATATCATCTCTTGGCTGTGACTGGGCCTCCGGGGTGGTCTCCCCCTTCCTACCTGTGTGCAGGCAGCTGTGCATGCCGACCACTTTGCGCTCTGCCAATCGATGCGATTCCCCGCCCATATGCGGGAGACGCCGAAAGAGCGATGCCACCAGTCGCTACCCGTTCTATGCTGCAAGATGCAAAGCTTCGGTGGTGGCTAGCCTCGACTTATTGCGGAGGATGCAAGATAAGCATGTGGGATATGGTTGTGATGGTGACAATCTCGGCGGTGCGTGCAACGTGCAATTCATCTGACTTTGCTCAAGCTAACAGGCTTGCTTACACAGCAAGTCAGACGACCGACGGACGAGTGCATACACTGGCGGCTGCTGCTGCTATCGCGCGGTCGTTGATGATTGATCTGCGAGCAGCAGAGGCCAGACCGCGAACTTCGCGGACTTGAATGATCCCGAGCCCGACGTCTCTCTGTCCGCCACATGGATGTCATCCATCAAAACCCACCAGACTAGGCGCCCTGTCTTGGCATGGGTGACGGCTTACTGTTGAATTGTGTGTTGCAAGCCACAAAAGTCAGGGATCGTCTTTTGACACTTTCGCCGCGTGCGCCATAGTCGACTCTTAGTAGCCATTCACATGGCGCCAGCACTGAGACCTGACCAAGTTGGCATCATGGATCACCCATACCTCTAAACGGCGACTAACTCAGAAAACTTGTGACGACCATCACATATCCATCGGGCACAACACTAATCAGAAGCCTGTCTTTGCACCGGCGTTCAGTACAAGTGCCTGTACTTGAAACCACTGCGATGTCCGTGTTCGCCGACCACGAATGAAGTCAATGACTGCAAGCTCTTGCGCCAGACCGGCGACTAGTGGCTAGGTGCTTTGGGTTCTGCAGCCGCTTCAACGTCTGCAGACGGCTTCTCGAGACTCAACGTCGTCAGTGTGTTTGATTTAACATCAGTCCCTTCACAGCATTTTGCAGCACCTGCTAATAAACCAGGGCAGGTTTATACTTCCGCTACGTATTGAAGTCCCGTGGCCTGCAGGTCCTACCCGTCACCGTATCACCTTGTCTCACCGCTGAAGCGCTATAGCGTATTGTCTGTGTCAGTCCAGCTGAGGAGGGGAAGCAGTGAAGTGTAGGGCACCACCGGCAGCATTCATCGTCATTAAGAGGCTCCAGCGCACTTGGCGGTCTTGGCAGTTTGATACTGTCTGTGCTACCTCCTCCGTACAATACCGAACACGGCAGCCAGTCACGTTCCCGCGTACTCGCGTAACCCACAAACCACAGGTTGACAGTACCGACAAGGGGGCGAGCTCGGCGGAAGTGTTTGCAGCAGCTTCTGCCTCTCTCGACCACTCCAGTGTCGTGCGTCGCGTGCGCGAGCGTTACGTTATGCCCCGCTGATGTGAGCCAGGGTACCAACGTCCACTCCTTCAACGAGCCCAAGAAAAGACAATCGGCGAGCAAGAGAATTCACCTGGATTTTTGGGGCCCTGGCAATAATCGAGATTGTGAGCCTGCAAAATCGAAATTTGATGGAACGACGGTGGCCCGGCCATCGGCGGACTTTTCCCACTCCTCCCGCCCCGTTTCCACCTCGGAATCTTTGAGCGGGCCTCGTTGACGACGCTCCCCGAAATGAGCTCCCAAGGGATTCTTCCGTATTTTCCAATGGGGTTAATCGGACCCGCCAAACAGAATAATGGAGCTTAATCCAACTCCGGCGTCTGGGCAAGCCCTGTCTCACTCTTAGGTCAACAAAAGTGGGAGTGTGAGTTGACAAACTGAGAGAGAGAGACAGGCGCAACCGCCGGTGCGCACAACCTCCGAGCGATCCGGGTGCCAAGACCCGCCAGCACTCCGTGATACCGCAGCCGTTATGACTGCACTGATTGGCTCTGTTGATTATAGAGATTCATGAAGTCGCTCATGACCTGGAGGAGTCGGTGAGATTCGAAAATAAGCTTACAGCTTCACGAGTCACCATCTCGGTCTAGCAGCGAATCCCCGCCTCCCTTGCTTGCTTGTATCACACACGCGCTGCAGCCTGTATTCGCTTTAGCAGTTGTCTGCTGTTGTCTCACATCATCCATGCGTCTCGCACGTGCCCTTCACGGGTGCTCGAGGAGCCAACCACATGAGTTTGTGATATTGAATTCTGACCTGCTCATCTAGATTACTGGCCTTCTGCCGAGTTCACTGGCACCCAACATTCCGCTATGTCGAAGATAGCATGAATGCCAGAACCGCGACGTGGCCCTTGTGGCCGGGACACAGACGGGCATTGGTCCCCCAGGCGAGTCTGATTGGTTTCTATGTGCATGAGACTGTGACAACCCTCCCAACTATTGGGTTCAGTGGTGTGGATGGTCAGACTGGCATGAGCCTGCTTCATGAGGAGCCCCCGTCTGCAAGGCAGAGAACGGTGGTTCCCTCTAGAGTGGGATCGCCCTGGTTGTCGGTGGTTCGACCGCTCAAACACGGGCAATTGGTATTCGTCCGAAGTTCTGCGGACACCTTATTTCCGATCAACCCGTTTATGGGGCTCTAGGTGATTCTCCTTGAGCCGCCCCGGCGTTCGGCGTTAATCGGAGGGCGGGATTCCCCTGAGAACGGCCGCGCCGGGCGGAAGCCAAGCCGGATTCGCCAGTTGATTCCCTACCTGGTTCTCAGTCTCTTGCACGTTCACCAGCCATCTGGTCTATCAATTATGGCTATATTCTTCTGCGTTTACTGGACAGACACTTGCTATGGTTGAGGCTCTCTCTCGAGTCGAAACAAACTTTCCAGATGGCAGAGAACGGGAGTCTCATGGGTCTTGGCACCAAGGGGCCAACATGGAACTACCATGTTGACGACCAGCGGCAGTCGCTGCACATGGGATAAGAGTGTTTCGAGTGTCTACTCCCCGAACGGGAGCAACCGAGTCGGCAACATGACCTGGCTTCAGAATGGTGCTCGACGTTGGCTGAACCTCTGCCGGTCACTGACCGGAGCGGTGAAAGGCAAATCGCCCAAGAAGAACACCATTAGGGAGTCGTGCCGAGAAGTGGACGAAATGCATGATTACTCTCATTGGTGTCGTCTGTGCTGTCAAAGTCAGGCCGTACTCTCTCGTCATGGTAGCGGCGGGAGGTTTCTCTCTGGAGTTCCTCTACCTGCTTTCACGGTTTGGAGAATAGGCTTTGGGGATTGTGTCTGGAGTTCAGACCGCAATTTTGTCTTTCTTCTTTTTTTAAACTTGCCTTTCTTTCACTTCAGAAGTCTGAAAATTGGCCTTTGAGGGTCCAAAGATGGAGGCGAGGGGGGAGAAGAGAGTTTATATGAACTGGGCTAAGATTAGCGAATTGAGGGAAGCCATGTGCCTCTCCTCATTCTGCGGTTCTGTCAAACTACAATTTTATGAAGGCGAGGCTGAGAGGCACGGGCATCACCAAGGCGGCCACCCAATACCATAGTACGCCAGCTAGCAGGTTGTTTCCCAATCACATTCCTACCCATACGCAGCATATCCAAGGTGCATTCAGAGAACAGACCAAAGCCTAAGGCAGTCTTCACTTGTCTTGGCTTACTCTTGGCGCCAATGCTGGAAGAGTTGAGATGATTTATACTACAGCGTCTGCTGACATGAGGACTGTGTTTTGCATGACTGGCTGGCGAGGGAGGGGCAAACCGTTTTGTTTACCGCTTTTGGGGATCTTGGGGAAGATCCGGGGGGGCGATCTGGCGGACGGGACGGTTCAGCTGGGCCAGGAACTGAAAGGTCGAGCGGACGAGGCGCCGAAGCTCTGGTCGTTGCGGTCACATAGCTGTCTAGCTCAGGTAAGGTGAGGTAAGGTGAGGTACCTTGGGTAGTGTGGGGGAGGCGAGAAAAGCATGAGAAGCATGGGCTTGTTTATGCTGTTTGCTGTTTTTGGGTTTCTTGCCGGAGATGGGAAAGGTGAGAAAGCTCCTACATTTTCGCACAGAGATTTTTGTCGATGCTTGTGAGGCTGGAATTCTGCTATGGCCTTTTTTTTGTTTTGCCTCGGGGACGGTTTCCGAGGTTATTCATATTGGGAATAGAGAGATAGGGCGGGCTGAGTCTAGATTGGTTTCTCTCGCTCCCGCGGACGATGCTGGACACGGATACCAAGTTGGAGGTAATTGGGTTCGTAAAGATTTTGGATGATTACTTCAGTTGCCGGAGATGCGTAAGGCAGTGATGAGGTTTCCCGTAGGGAGCTACTCCTGGTACGAAACTCCATCTCACAGGAGAGGGTAGGCTGGCGAGAGGAGTGACATCAGGTCTAGACACTTGACCAACTGCTTCCTATGACCCTTGATTATAGGGAAGAGACAACACGAAAGCTAATCAATGTGTTCTTGGTCACTTACCTACTCTCAACCGTTCACAATCAGGCAGTTTGCGCCACACTTTTACGTTCACTAGTGATGACTCCTGATACAAGCCAAAGAAGCAGCTTTTCACCTATCTCGAAGAACGAAGCCGAAAGGGGTGTGCGAGACAACACACCTGCTAGAGCAATGACCACCAGCCTTTATCTCTGACAGGAAAGCCGTCCCTAGCTAAGATGAACAAATTCATGCCGGGTGCCGTTAGCGTTAGAAAACCCCATCTCATGATCGTTTTTTGCCTCCATCTTTCTCTCAGAGCACAGCTCGCAGACGGGCTTCTTCGGTGGTACTGCCGAGAAGTCGAACCCACTTGGGGTCAAGGATAGCGAAGCGGTTCAAGCTCAACTCACCCCACCCACCTTTCCCGTTGCTGAGAATAGAGTCGGCGGGAAGGCTGAGACTTTTTTGACGTGCATGAACTGCTTGCCGACGATGGTGCTTCAGATATCGAGAAGGCGTGCTGGTTGGGTCAGAGAGCGGGAAAGTCTCTTTTGTCCGCTTTTGTGAGACTAGACAAGTTGCAGCAAGTGGATCGTTTGTTTCTAGGTTTCGGGGCGGGAGTGGTGTTTATGGCGAGTTTGATGCTTTTTTGACGGAGATTTTGTAGGTATCAGGCAGGCGCACAGAGAGAGAGAGAGAGAGAGAGTGTAACCGAAGACAGGATCTTGTCGGTACTAGGCTACCCTTGTCTCCTGCAGACTAGCAGGCGCGAACGGGGTGGCATCCGCGTGGCCGATCGTGCTGAGTCCGGCGGTCCAATCATCGGCGCCTGGAGGGATGCCCCCCGGTGCCGAGTCGCCGAGGGGAAGGCCAAGATGCGGGTCCGTCTCGGCGGGCGAGGGGTCCGGCGCTAGTGCAAAATGACCGGTGAGATGCGGGAGTGCGGCGCGGGAAGAAGACGAGGGCCTGTTCGACCTATCACTGGCGTTCGATGTGAAGTTGACGAGGTGGACCTTGGCAAAGTGTGTCTTGTGATGAGGCTTTTTTGACGGATTCGGTATTACGAGGTTTGTCGTTCAGGGGTAAAAGAATGAGGTTGCAGGGGCACGTGGTGAGAAGCTGCGTCGTTTGTGATGGATTGGTTTTCCTGTTCCAAGGGGAATTCGGTAAACCATTGTGGTGTTGGGTGATGTCGATAATCAACTCGAGGTTGTACATAACAGACTTGTATGCAATATGTTGCCTACATAGCTAAACCAAAACCAAAAGCCATTTGAATCCGTCAGGAACAAAGCATTCATCTGTTCAACATGCAGAACTTGACCCCAGAACCACCTGCGCCAATGCCTCGCCAACCACCACAACCCCTCGCCCGCGTCCTCGCCGCAGATGAAGTCATTCCCACGGTCCAGCGCGTCCTCGCAATCCAACGCGCCGCCCGCGAAAACGCAGTCGCGTCCATCACGCCGTCCGAGGCAACCTTCGCCAACACCATCGGTCCCTTCCTGCGTGCCGACGACGAGACGCAGGGCGAGACGGGCTCCTTCAGCGTGCTCCGCTTCTCTGGCCCGGACAAGGCTACCACTGAAGCCATAGAGGAAGGTATGAGGCTCTGGTCTGCGTCTACGGCGGAGAGGTTGCGGATGAAGGGAGTCTATGAGCTTGTCAATGCCGTTAAGGAGAGGGACGAGGAAGGGCTCGGGGATGAGGAGAAGAGGATCATGAGGGACTTATGGCTGGATTATCGCGGAGCTGGGCATGGAGTCTTGGATGAGGAGGGAATTCGGGTGTATTTGGAGCGGAGGGAGAGGCTTGAGGAGTTGAAGAGGGTGTTTAGGAAGAATCTGTACAAGGGGAGCGGAGGCCTCTGGCTCACGGAGGCGGAGCTGGAGGGTACACCCAGAGAAGAGATGGAGAGATGGAAGTTTGGGCGGGAAGACGTGCCGGAGGAAAGGGGCAAGAGGTTTGTCACGCTGGAAAGAGCGGATTACGATGCCGTGCTGCGGTATGCGCGTGATTCGGAGACGAGGAGGCGGGTGTATGTTGCGTTTGACAATCGGTTCCCTGAGAACGTGCCGCTGTACAAGGAGATGCTTGTCCTACGAGACGAGAATGCGAGGATGTTGGGGTATGGGAGCCACGCGGAGTTCCGGATCGAGAGGAGGGTTGCGCCGTCGACTGAGTGGGTTGAGGAGTTCTTGGGACGGTTAAGAAAGGGATTGGAGCCTCGGGGAAGGGAAGAGATGGCGAGAATTGTGGACAGGAAGAGGAATGAGTTGGGGATTGTTCGTGAAGAGAAGGATAAAGAGGAGGGGAGGATTCTGCCATGGGATTTTGAGTACTATACGAGACTTCTTGAGGAAGAGGCGGACGTTGACCAGGAGAAGATGTCCGAGTATTTCCCCCTGAATCATACGTTATTGGCCATGCTGGGTTTGTTCTCCGAGTTTCTGGGTTTTGAATTCGAACCCGTACCGAAGAGCGACTTAGTTGGAAAGATCTGGGACAAGGGGGTACAGGTTTGGGCAGTCTGGGAGGGAAGAGGGGAGAGAAAGGGAGAGTTTGTGGGATACCTGTACGCCGACGTTCTCTGGAGAGAAGGGAAATACCGGACGGCGTGCAATGTCAACCTGCAATGCGTACGTTGCCGAGCCCTGTTCTCCTTTGGGTTCGTTCCATCAGAAAGAATCACTGACTGGTCAACAGGGTTACTTGAAGGAGGATGGCACCAGAGTCTACCCTGCCACGGTGCTCATGTGTGCCTTTCAGCCCCCTACAGCCGCGTCTTGTGCGCTGTTGAAGCATCGCGAGGTCGTGACATTGTTCCACGGTACGCCTAAACCAGTCCAATTCCCTTCTTCGTCCCTTTTATCTCACATTGTCAACCTCAAATATGATTCGTGATACACTCCTTTTCTGCACCCGTCCGATGGGAATGGCTTTCGCTCACACCGCCCACACAGAGCTGGGCCACGGGCTTCACGACCTTGTATCCCGCACAAAGCATACCCGCTTCCACGGAACGCGTGTGGCGCCCGACTTTGGCGAGGCGCCGAGCACGATGTTGGAAAAGTGGTGCTGGATGCCGGAAGAGCTCGTCAAGATGGGCCGGCACTACACGCGCGTCGATCCGGCGTACATGGCGAAGTGGAAGGAAGACCATGGGGGTGGTGAAGAGCCCCCGCAGGAAAAGATGCCAAAGGAGTTGGCCGAAAACTTGGTACAGAGTCGAGAGCTGAACCGGGGTCTATGGTTCCTAAGGCAGCTGTAAGTTTTCTGTCTTTTTCTACCTTTCTTTTGTTACCTCGTGTGATTGTTTTGGTGATTTGATGGATTACTGACACGGAACAGAGTATTTGCCACGTTTGATATGATGGTGAACAATCAAGAGTCAACCGAGGCTCTGAGAGAGCTGGATGAAGTGAAGCTCTACAACGACCTTCAGGATTCCATGACACTCAGGCCGAATCCTGATAAGAGAGGGTACGGATTGGTTCACTCCACGCATCTCATCGAGCTCTACGATGCGGGCTACTACGCCTACATGAGGTATGTTTGCTGCATAGAATCATTTTTACAATCTCATTCAGAGTTTGGCGGGAGCCGAGATCCTCTATCAATGACTCAAGCCCCGTCACTACGGCTTCCAAGTGCAGTGCTGACTTACCCCCACAAAGCGCCCAAGCATTCGCGGCCTCCTTCTTCGAGTCGTGCTTCGCCAAGGACCCCCGCAGTCCTGAAGTCTGGGACCGGTACCGAAGAGATATCCTCGAGTACGGCGGCAGCAGAGACGAAATGGAGATGATGAAAGAGTTTCTGGGTAGGGAGCCCGGGCCGGATGCGCTGTTGAGAAGTCTCGGGTTATTGGAGGGTGATGGGAGTGATGTTGGACCAACGGCGGCATCGACTTGAAACCATTTGCGATTAGTCTCATGGCACCACCATCTTTGGTATTTCTTCGAGACAGCATCTTGAGTGTAGGATACGACGATTGTTTGAAAATGATTGTTGAATCGAGTCGCGGCTGAAGTTGCTCTCGACTCAGACTGAGACTGAAGCTCGTATTAGAGAGCTCAGCTGATCTGCTTGTCCTGCGTCTGCTCAGGTACTACCGCTCCGAGACAGTCTCAATAGACCCTGCTGTCTCTTGCTCACAGTGTGTCTGGCTCTGTCAAAGTTCAATGGTAAGCAAATCACGTATCGGATACAGTATGTTGCGCAGCAGCCCATTTTCTGGGGTAATAGAGAACTGAGACCACACCTCGATACGAGACTTGACAGAGTTACCTTTGTAATTGATTCAATATTGTAAGACATCCCTCGGGGTAATCCACATTGCATTCGCGGGTGCCAACGGTGTTACTGAGCCATGATTCCACGATAGCTTCATGTTCAGCTGGTGTTGACGGGTTTCATTCGTTGGCATCCGCTCATGCTGATCGTGCCACATTCACTCAAGATTGCTCAAACTGGCTCAGCTAGCTCATATTGGGGCCAGTGAGACCGTTAGACGTGTCCTGCATTCAGGTTCCTACGATAGATAAAAAGCGACTGTCCGGCTGCTTCAACTCGTTTCCATGTCGCGCTCAATCACCAGTTAGCCATCAAATACTCAAGAGATACGATCAAGTCGTCGATATGAAGTCTATCATAGTCGCCTTCGTAGGCCTCATCTCCTTTGTCGTTGCCCAGAGATGCAACGCCGATAACTGCGCCCGCAGAGTGACCGGCACCTTCAGGGCCGCCGGCGTCCCGGACGTCACAAGCCGCGGCTTAGACTGCTCCTCTTACATGCAGACCACCGTAATTCCGGACACGTTGTAAGTGCCACAAAACTAGTACCAACATGAGTCCGCCGCCACAGCTCTGACATTACTCAATAGCACTTCAACCGTCACCACCACGATCTACACCGACAACATCCCCCTTACCCCAACTACTACCTTCTCCCAGTCTACAACCCGTACCCCCATCACGCAATCTCCAACCTCAGTCCCCTCCTACGCAGCCGTCTCCTGCACCAGCACCAGCGCCTACTCCTCAGCCTGCAGCTGCTGGGGCTACACCCCGTCCATAACAACCCTCCCCGCGCCAGTCGCCACCGTCACGGCAACCCAATACGCCAACCCAGGCTGCCGCGGCGCCCGCGACTGTCCCTTTGACGGCGTGAACCTCTACCAGTGCCCCGGCGGCGGTGGAAAGCTCTGCACTTGTCTTCGCGAAGTCGATAGGAATTTGGACGAACCGAGTCGGAGGCACGTCTGCGTGGAGAATAAGGGATGTAACGAGGTCAGGACGTGTACTTCGTCGAGCAGCTGCAGCACGGGCGAGGCGTGCGTGTGGAATTACTGCTGTGAACGGCAGCGGAGAAGGATTTGTCTAAGGTATGCGCCTTTGGCGTGTGGTAACCCGACTCTGCCTAGAAACATCTTTGAAGAGCGGCGGGAGTTGGTTGAGAGCCGAGGTAGCGGGATGGTGTGAGCTTGGTTGATGATGCTTAGGATGTTCTTCGAGGGACGACTGAGGGACGTTGTGTCGGCGAGTGATAATTGGACGGACGAGAATGCCCAAAAAGTTTTCTGGATAGCCGTAGGGAACAGGATAATAGCAAAATCTCAAGCTCTCCCTGGCTTCCCAGCCCAAAACTCCAAACGCAAATGCAGCTTTTGATGATGGACCTCACTTCCCCTTCCACCTCACCCGACTAGCATACTGCGCAAACCTCACAACCTCCTCCTGCTCAAGCAACAACTCAACAGTATAATAATGCCTCGCAAGCTCCTCATGCCCCGCGAACCGATGCACAAAAGAGTGACACAGCCGACACAGCCACGCGACGTTATTCAGCTCCTCCTCGCGGTGCCACCCGCGCTTGACGACTTTATCGTGCACCATGCGCGGAATGAGGTGATGATACGTCAACCCGATCCAGTCCCGCCCGCATAACTCGCACCCATCCACGGAATCTCGCGTCGAGCGCGGGGGAGGCGGCGGCGCGACGAGGGCGGAGATGTACTCTGTCAACACGGGGGCCAGGAACTCGTGGGCGCCTTGTTTCGCTGGGTCGACGATGTGGTAGGCTGCCAGCGAGTCCGCAACGTCTGAGGATAGAGTGGGTAAGAGGTCTGCTACATCAGCGCCGGTGAGTGGAAGGGGGAAGCGGGATTGTAGGAGGGACGGGTCGGCTGTGTGGGTTGCGTGGGATAAGAATTTGAGGTCCGGGGGAAACGAGTCAAAGGTTTCGGAGGCGAGGTAGGATGTGAAGTCGATCATGTCGTCTGCGTCCACCTGAGTGTTATCATCGTCGTCGCCGGTGCCGGCGCCGCTGGTGACGGCTGAGGGCCCATCGTCATTTTGAGATTTGGGCGGCCGGCGAGGATTCGCCTTCTTGGAGCGGCGTTTTGGTTTCGGTGCTGGTTTGGTCACGCGTTCTACGACGGCGGCGGAGAGGCAGTCTCGTAATGTTTCAAACTGGGGTGAGTCTTCATCAGAACTTCTCATTGTCTCATCTATGGTGGCAAGTTTTGATTCTGTGAGATGAGATTCTTCTCATGAAAAGTGTGAGTGAGATGAGGTAGAAGACGTGAATCGATGACGTTGAGTCGACGTTGCTTTTCGGAGCTCACCTCACGATCCGTTCGGACGGAGGGCGGGCGATTTTAGGGCACTTTAGCGCGTTGTCTGTGGGGAGCGGGGGCGCCCGGGTATAAGTGCGCATCCCCCTCCCCCACGTTTTGGGTGACGGAAGCCGGCTGAGAGGCGTTCGGACGACATTCCTCCCACCTGACCATCGTGGCTTTCATTTTGCGAGGTCTTCGTTTAATATCCATCTCGTAGCAATCGGCATTAAAATCCCGGCTTTGACACAGGCAAGTCCGGGCCATTGAGCGACATGGCGCAAGACAAGCGCAAGACAATCATCGCTTTTGATCTATACGGCACTCTCCTATCGACCGAATCCATCGCAAAGCAACTCGCAGAGCTCTACGGCGACGAAGATGAAGCCAAAACCCTGGCGGCGCAGTGGCGGCGGTATCAGCTCGAGTACACATGGCGTATCAACAGCATGGGTTCGTACCGCACACAGAATCTTGTAAGGCATAAAAAAGGTGATAGTAGGCTGAGACAACGAGACACATCTAGGCACATACCGTCCGTTTTCCGACATCACGCGCGCAGCGCTGAAGCATGCCATCGCGGAGAGAAAGAAGCCAACTCTCTCAAAGCAGGACGAGGACCGTCTTATAGAAGCTTATAACGGTCTCCAAGCCTTCTCAGACATTGAGTCGGCGATGCGCATTGTCGAAGGGAACAGCTCCATCGACGCGTACGTATTTTCCAACGGGACGGATGACATGGTCAGCGCATCCATCAGAACCTGCCCCGAAATCAATCAACGCAAGAGCCGTATCTTTGGCCCTGAGAAGTTGGTGACGGTGGAAGGGGCACGCTGCTTCAAGCCCGCTCCTGCGACGTACCGGCACTTTGCGGAGAAGGTGGGTATGACTGGCAGAGAAGGCGACATTTGGCTGGTGAGTTCAAATCCGTTTGATGCACTTGGAGCGAGGGCGGCCGGGTGGCAGTCTGCATGGATCGACAGGGCCGGGACGGGATGGATTGATGCACTGGGAAGCGTCATTGGCACTGAGCCGACAATCGTTGCTCAAGGGGTTGATGAAGCTCTGCAGAGAATTGCGGAGCTCGGAAACTAGCCATGAGGAAAACAGCCGCTCAAGATTGTAGATCTGGCAAGGTTTCTACTTGCCGCCTCGGTGTCGCTTTGCAAGACGGAGAAAAAGATTCACTTCAAGCATCATGCTGGACCCCAAGTATCCACATCACGTTGGCAACGGCTTCTGAGCTTATTTCAAGCCGGAGCACAGTGCTAGCCCTATTCCCCAAACTTTCAAACACTGGAATAGATCACCATGACGACATTGATGTCATTCAGACTGGGAATCCGTACATAATGGGCCCGTCGCATCAAGGCCCCTACAGTACGCAAGCCGATTCACAAGCGAAACAGTCGAACAAGTCTCAACTTCCGCTCTCCGGCTGCAACTGCCATGCGCATTTCTAGCGTTGATGATGACGACGGATGCGAGAATGATGCCACGTAGACGACAAGCTTAAAAGTTTAGTGCATGTTCGGCATGTTATGCCGTAGTCGGGTCTTGACCCTTGAAGCCTTCAACGTGTATGAGATGGGCAAGGTTGACAGTCATTTCGGCTAGTTTTGCCGCATCGGGAGGAAAGCGCGCGCTGATATAGTTGTACTCTGTGTCTTTCACGACGAAGCTGTGCTGGAAATTTAGCAATCGTTGTTGCATCCGCGGAGGGGGGAGGCACGAACGGTCGGCTGGGCATCCAGCTGCTCTTGAACTGACTGGGATCTTTCACCACTTTGCGCATCTGACACCATAAGCACTTGAACAAGTCGTCCTCCATAACTTGAGCTGTATACTTACCGAATCCTCGACATTCTCTGTGCCCGCACCGTATGTCTTATAGTAGTCGCCCAGAAATAGCCTGGTTCCATGATACGCCAGCGACTCGAAGCATCCGGGGAGTGCCGTCGTCGTGCAGTGATACAGAACACTGTTACCGTCCTGGCCCTTGGTGTTGCAGAGCACCAGCGGACCGTGGCAGATAGCCGTGACAATCTTTTTGCCCGGCTTCTTGGTTTGGGGGAAGTAATCGGCCAGCAGCTTCTGCGCGGTGGTCGAGTCCATGAGCTGCCTCACTTCCTTGTCGTGACCGCCGGGAATATGCACAATGTCGAAGTCATCGAGCGTAAAGCCCAGCGAAGTCCAGGATAGGGGGTTCTGCATTTCGGCAGATTTGACCATCGTATCGTGGAGCTTTATCGTGGAGGCCGCGGCGCCCTGTTAGACGGGTAGCAGGTCAACTCTAACTGCATCACCAGATTGCCATGCCTCGGCGGATGGGAGAGATGCGGGATATTGGCTAAGGGAGGAATTTGCAAGCGCTCATGGTGCAATTGTGTCGACGTCGAACAATGACGACGTTTGCAACATCTTGCGAAAGAGAGTCATCGTACAAGAAACTTCTGGGAAAGACCCTTGAGCATGCGGGCATCGCAGCGGGGCGTTGAGCCCGTTTCGGTTGCAAAGTTTACGTCGAATCCTGCATCTTTGAAGGTCTGGTAGGGGATAGCAACCTCTGCGAAGCAAGAAGGGAGAGATTAGCTTTGCGGTTCGTAACGCAGATCCCGTTGAGTAAGGGTTTTGCCATGTTTGGACGATTGGAGGTGGTGCGGGGCTAGAGGATTAGGGGGATGGAGATGGAGTCTGACAAGGACCGGGACGATGTCGTGGACTTGGCGTTGAGGGGATGGGCGAGACAGGATGGGTGGGCAAGCGGAAGGATGATGAAGATCACCTGCCTGTGGGATCATGGCCGTAGTCGGCCATGATGATGAGGACTTTGACCATATTGGTGACTCTTGAGGATGTATTACCGGCAGCGATAGCTTGAAGCCGAACGAGAGCAACGATGATGGTACGAGCTGGACGAGACGACACGACACGGGTGACGTTGAAGGATCTGAATCGTCTGAAGTTGGCTGACAGGGAGAGACGTGGGAGTGATCAACGCGGGGTTGGCAGATCACCGTGGCCGGCGAATTGTACCGTATGGCACGGCACACACGGATAGGTACTCGTTGGTGCGTGCCGCATCGCCGGAACAAGCGAGACAGGTTGACATCAGCGTTGAACTCTGAACGTTTGAACAGCAAGTCAGGCGTCAGCTTATTCCTTTGCACATTTACTGCCCAGGAGTTTGGCTTGCATTCCGCGTCGGCATACCTCGCATGCCTCTGCTGACTCGCTAGAGTTGTTGTTGATTGCTGTAAACAGAACTAATCTCGTGGACATGTGTATCTGATTTGATGTTGCATCTCAGGCGAGATGAAGAAATGAAGAAGCGGCTGGAAATTGACGGACGGACTCAAAGGACTGTGCTTCATGTGCTTGATCAAATTGATGCGTCCGTGAACAAGTTCCCGATTCCAACGCTGGACATTGGATGAGCGGACCCTGAAGCGACCCGACATGAGGCAGGCAGGGGCCCAGAGTCAAGGGGCTGGCAAGGGCAGAGGCAAGGGCAGGCAAGCAAGGAAGGCACACCAAAAATGTCCGTGTGCCCGGTTCCTGCCCCTAACTTCTTTGGTACGTACCTCAATTGGTAACGGAGACGCAGCGCTAATGCAACGGGGACCCGTCAAAAGCGGAACCCCCTCTCGACGTCATCTCTGCCAGACTTTTTCCGTCTCTCCCCCCTTACTGCACAGTGTACGTCTGCACCTTGCTTTCCGTTTACCTGATACCTGACCAACTTACGGATACCTCAAGGCTCAAACTTTTATTCATCTTTCCATCTCCCCGTCAGCGCGAGTCCGCCTTGTCTACTTTGTCTGTTACTCGTACGGCTTGGATGTGCCGTTGCACAGAGATCTTATTCCCATCTCGTCCTTGCTTACTTCACCTTGGGATTCGCTACACATGCACTTACATCTGCACACATTCGTTCTGTCTGTACCTCGCAGTAGGCCAGTCACAATGCGGCTACCAAGATGCAGACTACCCCAGTGCCAAGCGGCTGATGTGAACCTTGACACCAGGCTTTTATCCTGACATGCTCTGCACGACTAATGGCCGCCATTCCACACACACACATACACTATACAAGTATCCGTAGCTAGATACCGGGCGGACAGCTCACCTAGCTACAGCTCCAACGATATTCAAGCTTTCACCAGTCTCCATAACGCATGACATCGTGGTCCTCTTGGTCCCGTCAGTACCGGCACCAAGTCCACTCCAAGACGCACATCCTGCCCTTCCCATCCAGTGGGCCCCGCCGGTTTACGCAACCACGCCAACTTAGTCTCCCCGGACTCGCTCCCCGGTTAGGAAGAAGCAGGCGCAAGCGCGCTCTCAAGTCTCTCTCGTGTAATTACACAACAATACCCTACCTACCGGTACGGGGTACAGAGCACTTCGTCCCCTTGTCCTCTCCCATGTATCCGTACCAAACCCTTGCTGCCAGACTCCCGGCAGCTCGGAAACTCATAGCTCGTCTAGATAAGGCCACTATGACCCGCCGTTGTGGACAGTGACGACAGTCTGGGCCCTTCGTTTCTTGATATATGCCCCCTTCCTGCCACGCCCAGTTTCCGCGCCTGTTCTTGTTCTCGTCACTCTTCATCGACACACTTCATCCACCCATTCCACCGTCCATCCCATCTCCAACTCACGCCCACACTCACGCACACGCACACGACGATGAATCTCTCACTCGATAAGACGATGCCTGCCAGCAATCTTCTCTCGGAGCAGGTCCAGCTCGGAGGCACCTACGTTGACACCGTTGTCGAGATATCCGAAGAGCTGTTTCACATGAAGGAGCTTCTACCCCTAGTCAAGCTCCTGACCCTCGTCTACAAGATGCGCTCACCTAACGCTGATGAGGAGCATCACATGAACACCCTTTTGCGGACATTGTCAGGCGACAACCTCAATAAGATAACTACGGACCGGTATCCCGAAGGATTTACCAGAGACGAGATCGTCAAGTCATTCAGCAGATTTCTGAGCCCAGTTCTTAACGGTCTCACGGGCCTTGGCGATTTCGAGCAAGCCGTGGGCGCTGGCGAAGACCCTGACTCATTCCGCCAATTCTGGGCTCTCGACGACAGAAATCTGCTCTCCGACGCCGCTTCAGGCAGAGGCCCCCTCGCCGCAAGCACAGAGCCCATCATCCCATTCCTCGAGACCTTTGTCAAGGACCGCAGTCGCCGCATAGCCTTGACCCAGGATCACGGCGCTCTAGTGCTGGTTCCCAACCAAACGAGGCCCGGCGATGAGATCTGGATGATGTCCCGTGCGTCGTCCCTGGTTGTCGTGCGAAGACTTGATCAGCCGGAAGACTCGACGACAGACCTGAGCGTCCTTGGCGATGCTTACAGCCACGGGTTTGTCAAGGGTAAGCCGCCGCGGGGCTGCAAGCGTCAGGCATATGACGACCTGGAATTCTTGACATCGTCCGTTGCTGTTGGCCTCGCCGGCGGTGTGCCGAGGTAGAGACAGTCGTTGACTGGGCTATCTTATTTGCCAGCCATCTGCCGATACAATCTGGCCATGGTGGGCACGAGACTGCAAAAGCAACGCAGCTTTCAAATGTGCAATCTCTCAACATCAGCCATCTAGTTCGAAGGATAGTCAAGCCTTGTTCTGCGCCATGAGCCGATGGAAATCCTCCCGCATGCCCTTGTCGCTGTGGCTGCATCGGATCGCAACACGTATACTTTTTGTACAATGACAACAACAATAAGCCCGATGAGCAAAAGTCCCTCGATGAATTATTCAGCGCCAGGGTCAACACCTCGCAGACTCGAAAGGCAGCATTCTGCAGCATTATTTCTTTTGTTGGAGGGGGGATCACTCAACGCTTCTCCTTGACATTTGGGTTCTGGAAACGGGAGTTTGGGAGACTGGGGATCACGGAATTGGGAAAGAAAAGGAAAGGAAAAGGCAACACAGAACAACACTGGCGTACCATGGGATTCTCTTCAAAATGAAAGAAATTGGGATTTGCATTCTGATACTAATCACTTTAGAGGCATTTTTAGATACCCCAACTTGAATCTTTTATTACATTGAACTTTGACGAAACGGTGAATTTGATGCAATCTCGTCTATCGCGAACCTACTCAGGTGCTGTGGTCATTGTGGAAGGTGATTTAATTTCCCGGGATGATTTGCTGACAAGTGACAACCCCTCTGGGCCTCCAATCCCAAATGGGGCCCCTGAATCCTCCTGAGCTATCCGTATCCTACGGAATGGTCAATAGGGCTCTAGCGAACCTTAAAGCGACCTAGCTTATCACGAATCAGGTGAATAAAAGACGTAGGTTTCCGTACGGAGCATCGGATACGGAGTCAATGCTTACGCGGGAGCCTAAATCGGAGCGGACCTCATTCACTGACGGCGCCGTTTATTCTTTCACTGCATCTCAAAATATCTCTGCTTAAATACTCGGGACAATTTTCTTTCAACAAAAGTTTAAACGTCAATTCAGCCGCGCACCGTCGCACGCGGAAACCGTTGGTGAAATTGCACTTTGTACCACGCGACGACGGTGTCGACGGTGGGAGGCGTTTTTTTTTGAGATTACTTGGGCAACTCTGCAACATATCACAGCTGGCACCAAGTGGAACACGACGTGGCTGACACTCCCGAGACATTCAGCGGCTGGTGACATATCTTGCACATTCAACATCGAGTTTGAGTTGCACAACATGGACGGGGTCTTGGCTTACATCCTGAGGTCTCTCACGGCGGCCGTCCTAGTCGCCGCCGTGGGATCGGTGTTATACTTTTTTAAGCTTCTGAGGAAGCACCGGGGCAAGATGGCTGAGCTGAGGAAGCAGGGACTGGTGAGTTTTCCTTCACCCTTCTCATCGCGCTCCATCACGTCATGAGAGGCTATCATGAACGTCCACATCAGACTAACCACAAAACACAGCCAATCGTCCCCCACAGCTTCCTCTTCGGAAACCTCCTCGAGGCCAAGAAAGCTTTCGACACACTTCCGCCGGGCGTCCACGCAAACTACGCCCTCGCCCGCCTGGGCGAGCTCCACGGCAAAAATGGCGCCTACTACATCGACACCTGGCCCATGGCCGACCCGATGCTCGTCGTCACAGACCCGGACATGGCCCACCAGACAGTCTACCACCCGGTCGCCGGCGCCCAGAAGCCCCCCATGCTCGTCGGCTGGTTCCACCCCATCACCGGCGGGCCGAGCCAGTTCGACACAAACGGCCGGCCGTGGAAGAACCTCCACGCCCTCTTCAACCCCAGCTTCAGCAACCAGAACATCACCGCCGCCGTGCCCATCATCCTCGGCAACATTGCCACTTTCACCGACCGGCTGCGCGCCAGGGTCTCCACCTCCGGGGGCGATGGTGGTGGTAGTGATGAGGGAGACATGTTCAGGCTGGAGCCCCTGATGCTCGACCTCATCACCGACGTCATCGGCGAAGTCCTCCTTAACGTCCGCCTCGAAACCCAGAAACAGCAACATCCCCTCGCCGAGGCAATGAAGGGCCAGCTCCGCCTCAAATTCACCTCCCACAAGCCCGAGAACCTCCTAGCCCCCATCGACCCATTCCTCCTCTTCCGCACCTGGAACGGCGGCCGCATCCTCGACAACCACATCAAGCACCAAATCAACGCCCGCTTCGCCACCCTTCTGCAAAACAAAGCCCACAACCGCGACAAGTCTGAAAACTTCCAATCCGTCCTCGACAGCGCCCTCGAGAATTGGCTCGCACAACCCGGGAACGCGGGTTGCGAGGAGCTCGACGCTTCCTACCTCTCCCTCATGACGCGCAATATGCGCATGTTCTTCTTCGCGGGCTACGACTCCTCCGCCGCGACGATAGTCTACTGCCTGCACAACATCGCCTCCCGCCCTGCCATCCTCGCCCGCGTCCGCGCAGAACACGACGCCGTCCTCAGCACCGACATCTCCACGGCACCGGCCAAAATCGCGGAAACCCCGGCCCTGCTCAACGCCTTACCTTTCACAAACGCCTGCATCAAGGAGTCCTTGCGCCTTTTCCCGCCCGCAGGCGGCATCCGCCAGGGCTGCGCTGATCTAGTCCTGCACGACGCCGAGGGCAACGCCTATCCGACGGACGGCATCGCCGTCAACATGCTGCACTGGGCCATTGGCCGGAACCCGCGATACTGGGCTCGGCCGGACGAGTTCGTACCCGAGCGATGGCTCGTGACGGATCCAAAGCATGAGCTGCACCCGCCCAAGGGTGGCTGGCGGATTTTCGAGTACGGGCCGCGGTTGTGTGTGGGACAGCAGCTTGTTATGACGGAGGCGAGGGCCGTGTTGGCGTGCGTGGTGCGGGAGTTTGATATCCGGGATTGCTATGGCGAGATTGACGGCGGTAAGGGGAAGATCGATACGAGCGGGTTGGGCGGGCAGAGGGTTTTCATGGTGGAGGCGGGCGCTGCGCATCCTACGGATGGGTATCCTTGTAGGGTATCTTTGAGCGGGTACGGAAAGTGAGAGAGATCTTAGACCAAGTCAGCAATTGAGACAAAGCATATTTCTACTGGTTGTATACGTGCTCATGTGCATGTGTACTTTCGCTCGATTGAAGAATCTTTTCTGGCGTGGAAACGGTTGCCTGTAAAGGGAACTAGGTGCCGATAGTCGAATGGAGAGAAGCGATTTGCGGGAAGAGAATCAGGCTACCGTCAAGAAAAAGGCCCTTAAATGTCAGCAAGCAAATCAAGCCAAGCACACTGACCTGAGATCCATATTCTCTCGAAGTTAAGACCATGAACCTCACGTATGATTCCCGTGTAAGGCGCACCTCCACTCGGACCCTACCATGAGAGGCACTTTTGCATAACAAGACCAGTCAGAGGAAACTAATTGTAACGCAGTGTAATGCTTTGTAGTCAAGTGTCCTTTTTAAAAAGCGAGAGCGATATAAAATCAAGCCGTGGCTCGTGAACATTGGGATTTCTCTTCCATCCCATCTTTTTCCCCTTTTGGTGTCGTCCGATCCAACACCCGGAACGCCGTGACCCATGTCGTATAATGAGATGGAAAGTATACAAATTTGCAATCAGACACCGAGTGTCTGTGCAAGAAGTGAAAGAAAACAATTCGAAAATCAGAAGGGTATATCCGTCCACCATTTTTCAGTCATCCGCCTTTTCTCCCTGGGAGTTGGAGCACCATGGAAGCATCACTGGCTCCTCTTGCGCTTCCGCTCCCAAGTGTTCTCCCCAGCACCGCCGCCAACAATATCCGACTCCTCGATCTCGATCCTCGGTGGCGGCGGCATAGCCGACAAAATCGGTGGGCTGCTCGGTCCGACAACACTATCGTCGCTGTCCTGCCTCCGGTGTCCAAGAAGCGCCTGCCTATCCCCCCCACGACCATGCACCGCCTCCTCCTCGTCCATCTCCGGCACGGCGACGAGAACATGCGAGCTGCCCCAGCTCGGCGCGCGTCCCATGCTCTCCCGCGTAACGACCTTTCCGTTCGACATGGATCCGCTGGCGACGTAGCTGTCACTGCGGCCAAGGGGATCCGCGCCGGGGCTGCTGCTGTTGTTCGCCCACCCAAACTCGTTGTTCATGGCGCGTTCGACCATGTACCTATCGAACTGCGTGTCTCTTTCGTTGTTATACTGTGAGGGTCTGCGCTGTAGGGATGTCGCTTCGGATTCCTGCTGCTGCTGTTGCTGTGCCGTCTGTTGTGTTTCATGCTTCTGAATCGATGACTTTGTTGAGGATGTGGATATCCGGCGGAGGGAACGGTCTGCAAGGCTAAGGCCGCCGATGGAAAGGCGACCATTGTAGGAGGTCTCGCCTTCGAGGTCGTTGAAGCCGTAGGGCTTGTGGTTTACGGGGTAGTGATAATCGTCGTACTTGACGAGTCGGCGGTACGTCTGGATCGAGTAAACGCCTGGTATGGCGACGAGAATTCTGTGTGTTGTTAATTGTGTCCCTAAGGGAGTCATGATTATCGTCGTGGCTTACAGAAGAAAACAATCCAAGCCGAGACCAACAACTGAGTAGTGGCTGTCCTTTCTCTGCACGAATACCACAACATCGAGAGCCAGAACGGCCAGGGAGCAGACGATCTTCAAAATGTGGGTAAAAAGCATGGTCCATGGCGTCAGGGTCTCGGCGGCGAGCTTTGAGATTTCGTAACACGTGGAAAATAGGCAGACGAGGGAGAAGGCGATGTTGACAGATTCCCAACTACACCCGGGTCAGTACACGAACTTGACGGTAAACACAGTCCCAACCCTGACTTACACGACCTCTACCATGGGAAACATCCCTTTTGTTTCCTCCTCGGTTTCCCAGTTCCTAAGAGTATCCGATAGGCGCCAAGAGAAGAGAGCGATGACGACGAGGAAGACTAGCAACTGAAGGATCCAAAGAGGCACAAGCAGCGCCATGCGCCATCTTGACCGGTCGAACTGAGCTTGTTGGCGGTGTAGAACCATTGCTGCGGTTTCTTGTTTGTGGTAAGGACGATGTTCCTCGGAGGCTTTTGACTCGGGTCGCCGGAGTTGATGTTGTTGTTCGAGGCTGAGGAAGACTAGTCTGGACTCAAGGCGAACACAGGGAGTTATAAGCTGAAGGTCTTAGACAGGATGAAAATCATAACAATGACGACAGGGGTAGTCAGCTGGAACAGGGCCCGAGAAGCGCGGAAAGGGAGGCTGTGATGAGGCGACCCAGGTGGCAGGTAGTTGCTTGATTCGAGTGTGTCTGCAAATTGCTATATATAAAACCACCTCTTCCAGAAAGCCGGGACGTCTGAAATGAGCAAGAGGAATTCCCAGCCAGGCTGCAGTATATCGAGGGACACCAAGCCCTGTCCAGGAAACACCGCTCTAGTCACAACTTGCTTCTGCCCTAGGCGGATTGGCTGGGCATCAGGGCATCTGGGGCCGCTCTACTCCAGGTTGAAAGCGATGAAGCGTACTCTGTATACAGCCACGATTGTTTCATTGGACAAACCCTTCAGGTTCCCGCAGTGAGCTGCCCCTTGTCAGCCCAGTTCAGCTCCTAGCACTGATCGGGGGCGTAATGGATACCTTTGGAGAAGGACTCAAGGAGTCTGAGCAGTGGGAACGTTGGGAGCAACGGGGGTCCTCCGCTAGTCATCGTTGGATTGTTGGAGCCTAGCAGCTAAGCTAGGGTGATCTCAGGGTCTCGGGCCATGAGGAGATTAACGCCGTGACGCCTTCCCGCGAGAATAGCCACCACCCCTATGCCCTGCGCGGCTCCCTTCCGTGGACTACCACGCAAGGGCGAGTATCTTGCCGAATGGTGGAATGTTGCCATCCCACCCACTACTCTGTGCTGTGTGAGGCATCGAATGGCGTTTGCGGCTGAGGTCAGGGCCATACGATCGATATCACTCGATCAGGCAAGCGGCCCTGGCCATCAGTTCATGCCCACCTCGTCCCTCGCAGACCAGGCAATAGCGAGCATCCTGATACTGCCAGAGACGCTGCGCTGACAGCATGGCAGACAACAGCATAGTGGGCAATAAGCGCGGTACCTCGAACAGATGGCTGCAAAGTCCTTCTTGTTCAGGTGATTCGCAGTGCCAACAAATGCGCACCCAGCTTCACAGCCTAGCTGATGTCGAACAAAACAGGAAATGCGGTCCCAGAGTTTCGGCTCTCTATAGCGAGGTGGAGGGTCGGGCAGATCAAGGGTTGGCTCCAATTTCATCTCGCTACGCGCTTGTCGTCTTCCTTCAGGATCGGCTGTCGATGCATGAGACGCGCTTGTGGTGGCTGCGCAGGCAAAATCAACCAAAACCGGTCCACTTGTAAAATTCCCCGCCCAAACCATTGGAAATTGTGTCATTTTGCGGCACAGGCAGACACGTTTTGTTCGTTCTGGGTGCACTGGTCTCCGAAACAGAACCATCGAGGGCTGCTGTAACTAGTGAAAGTCGTGGTGGGGAGGGATTCCCACTAACTGGCTGGTCCAACATTCGAACGTGGGTGACTGGGCCGGTCTTGTTGGTCTGTTTGATGATGTGGTGACTTCTCCTTGGCTGTTCAGCCTGTTCTGAGCTCTGGTCTCCTCCCCAAGAAACCAACGGCATTTTCAGCAGGGCTGACAGGGTGGGGAGAAATGTTGAAAGCGGTCTAGTTCAAGGCTAATTCGAGCGTCTCACTGCTGACGCCAGGGACGAGAGACATCGTCCGGTTCCTGGTTTCTATTGCAATCTGTTCATCTCTTGTGTTGTCCTTGCATGGAACGGTGAGGCTGTGATCCGTCAAGGCTGCAGCTTTCCACGAGGAATTTCCGCGAGTTTATCTCGATGAGGACTGTAGATGGGAAAGGTGAGATGCCATGGCGAGGCCGGATTGTTTACGACGAGCTTAATTGAGGTTGGGTCTGTCCCTAACCCACTTGGTTGCATTGGATGTGACTCTGGAGCCCGACGCAACGGGACAAGTACCCATCGTTTGGGTCGTTGGTGCAATGTTGTGGTACGGCAGGGCAGGGCAGGGAGCTCGGAAGATTATTGTTAGTTTGTCTGCAGTCGAGACCATCGGCTACCAGACAGTCTTGGTACAAAGAAACGACCAAGACAAGTTTGGAGGTGAGCGCGGAATTGAAAGACGGTGGAAGAAGCAAGTGAGTCAACGCCTGAGGTGACGAGAGAGGGCTGTGCACTGCAATACCTAGCCATCGAGCCTTCCCAAACGATGGAAACTAGAAAGTGGGTCGCCACCTTGTCTCTCGTCTGTGCCTTCCATCTCTGTTTAGCTTTTTCCCCTTACCTGTTCAACTTTAAATCTTTTCTTTAGACGACCCAAATAATGTCTCAATTGGGAGACTCAACGTCAATGCTTCCGTTCGTGTGCTGATCAAATGAGAAGACATCATCTGAACGCCTGGTGCGGCGGGAAAAGTGATGCGGAAGCATGAAAGATCGCCATAGGGCATCAAGCACACCGTTGTAGAACGGCAACCGACTGGTATGACTTGACGAGCAGCCAAGTCAAGCAGTCAGTTTCAGACGATAACGCACTCGCCAAAGGCACGAATCGGACGCCTGGCCATGCCATAGCAGTAATCCTTGTCCTCCGCCCGTCCCGTCACGTTCATGTCAAAGACGTCAGCTCGTCAAGAAGCAGTATCATCGATCATTGACTTTCGTCGGATCGTCCTCCATCAGCCGACAACTGAGCAACTCTGAAGTTGTCAACGACCCAGATGCCCGGAATGTAACGTCCTTGTCTGCGATGCATCACACCCCCAAACAATCGCCACAACACCAACGAAACATCAGACACAAACTCTATTGAGCCCGCAAATGATCCCGACCTCTTCTTATCGACTTTCGACCATTGCATATAGGCGGTGTGGAGCGGCACCCTGTCTGTTGTTGCCAAACAGCTCCAACAGACCAGAGACTCGGGTCAGCATTGCCGTAACAGCGATTGCACTCAGCCTCCAATCCAGACATATGGGGCTCGCTGGAAAAACAAAGAATCCATGGAGCATCCAGAAACAGGCACTCGCATTACCGAGCCTCGTCCGCAACGCAGCAGGCTATTCAGCGGAGCAGCTGTATCAAAGCAGGAAGAGAACCCGCTTCGCAAGACGATGAAGCGTGGCTGAGCGACCAGACGAAAAACCGGACCCCCAGTTCCTCACTACTCGTGGAGACAGGCCGTTGTGCCCACTGCTCTATGCGTCTGAAGCGAGCTGCGCATGCTGCCCCTCTCAGGCGTACCCCTGCCACCGCTCACATGAAGTGGGGTTTGCGCGTTTAAGCTTACAGCCAAGTAATGGTCTTCCTCGAGCCTGGGTATTCCTAAGTTCCCAGGAAGCAGAAAATAGCAACCGTCGTCGGGACACTTCCTCTTCCGGTTATGTTCGAGAGGCTGATCACCTGCCGAGTCAGTTTGACATGATGGATGGTGAGTGACAGTTCGGCTGGCGCATTGATTGACACACATCAGAGATGATGCCGCTAACGCAAGCATGGAAAGGAGGGAGCGCGAGGGGTACTGCAAGAATGACTCCTGTGAGAAAAGACTGGAGGCCAGTGACAACCGCATAGCGGCGTGCTACTGACTGCCAGGTTATATTTCAGAATTATCTGCCACAGAAGGCGGGGGGATATTGTCTGTCACCCATTCCGTTGAATCCGGTCCCAAAATTCAAAGTAAAGCCAAAATCATTGATTGATTTGCCATGATGCCTATATCGCCCTGTAACCCTCCATACCGGTATTGCCGCCAGATTACGAGTTTATGGACGTATTTAATAATATTGTGTTGTCGTTTTGCAGTTCGTGATAGTGTCCGTCGGGCTCTATTTCCCAATCCTTCTCTTTAAGTCGGTTTGGCTTGATTGTTTAGAGACCGGCTTCCTTGTTGGCCTGGTAAACGCCGGCAGTGTTGAAGGGAACGATGTTGCCGTTGGCATCCGTCATGGCGGCTTCGTTGACGGGAACAGTGGAAGCAGCCTGGCGCTTCTCGACCACTGAGCTCATGTTAGTATTCCCTAAGCTTCATCCATTATAGCCAAATCGAGATGGCAACATACTCTCGGTCGGAGCAGCAGCAACGAAGGCAGCGGCAAAGGCGAAAAGAGTGAAAACGGAGTACTTCATTTTGACGGTTGGTTGGAAAAGTCGTTGATTGGAACGAGTGGTCGGCCGGCGACGAGCAGATAAGTTGTACAAGAAGAGAAGGTTGTAAAGTCAAGTACGTTGAGAGAGTGTGTTGGATGACTAGCAAGATCGAAAGAAACAGAACACGGCAAGGAGACGGACGTATTTGTATGTTATCGATGAAGCCCACATACCTTACTTTCGCCCCCCGTCCCCTCAGGGGGGTCTCTCGGTGCCAAGTATCACCATCGACATCACACATCAGACAAGGACGCTATAGACGAGGAACACCGATAGCGCACGGCTACACGGCCACACACACGCAGATCTGCCATCCAAATTCTGACTGGAACTTTACAGTCCTGTCGCTCCCGCACCATGAAGTTGAGACCAAGCGGTCAGGGCTTCCCAACGCCCGGTTCCATCCCTGGCCGTGGTCGCCGCGACCCGCCTGCCCTCGCAACTTTCAATAGCCCTGGTCATCCACGAAGGAGGCAGCCGCGAGCTCTTCCAGACGAGGCCAAGTTCGACGTGGGTGAAAACAAGGGACTTCCCGGCGTGTCATCTGCACTTACAGGAACGGTGCCAAGACTTGGAACAAGAGAGTTGAGGAAACCATGGGATATGGAGCTGATTGACTGGCCCATTCCTATCATCTGGAGACTTCTCCTCCTCCTCTGTCCTCATCTCTTCCATCTTCCCCAGCCTGTCCGTCTGGTGTCTGCTTCAAGCCCACGTCAGGTAAGTGGATAGATCGGCATCTTTTTGGGGTGAGGTTCGATCGCGGGAGTAGAGGACTCCAGAGGGGACGATGGGGCAACGTCTGAAACTGGGCTGTGACGAAGAAGCCGCGTAGCAGTGGCCCCACTAGTCAAAATGAGTGCCGTTGTCACAGAAGCCCATCGATCCTCCTCTCTCGCAAGCCGCAACCCCTGTTGCCCAAGGCTAGGACGAGCGAAGATCAGACAGTAAGCCGCTCGCTTTCAGCAAGTTCCGGTAGCAAAGTCAGCAGGGGAAGGCGGGGTTTTGAAGAGGGAGTCGAGGGACTGCGGCGGACGCTACCCCGGCCGCTGCATGTTGCCAAGTCTTCACCCCTGTGTACCTTATTCGTGAAGCTTGGCTTTGAGGTTGATCAGTGGGAATGGCGCTCCCGGGACGTGGGATGGTCCAGACTTTCTCGTCCTTGCGAGAGACAGGAGAGGCGTAGAGAACAGACCGGTTCCAGGGGGCGGCTCACTTCTTCGACAGCGGAATGACGGGATGAAGAAGGCGTTCGGACCAGTGTCATTCCTGTTCAGGGGGCGTTTCGAAACTGGTTGACCCTTGCTACATCGACGTCAGGGAGAGTTTGATATGGGAAAATCATTAGAGCGGCCCGTTAGTATTTTTAGCGCCGACTTCCTCCTCGACTTCTGTTCACGGGCACTCAGCAACTTAGTCATCCAGAAATCGCGAGGTGTGGCTGATGGAATGTGGCGCATGCCATATGGCGCAGTAAGCCTTCGTCAGCCACGGCACAGCATAGCATAACCGAGCTATGCAAATTGTGCCCAGTGACATTTCACGACATAATTGCCCCAGAACTGCACAACCGCCGGGGCCAAATCGCGGGGTTCCGTTATCTGAAGTGGGGTTTGAAGCGGTACGTAGCGCCGATCAGCACCTTGAGCTACCATACCTAAGGTATACTCGGAAGCAGGCAGCCCCTCCCCAGCCCGAGCTGACCTCACTTGGGGGAAGCTTTCCTCGCCATCCCCATTTCCTTCTCTTCCGTACTCAACTACTGCAAATCTCGTCCATCTCCGCGTCCCCTGCTGAACCTCGTGCGGTCGCCAGCCCGAACAACTCTTTGGAACGCCCTGTAGCTCTGCGTCTCATTCCGAAGACACGCCACCACCATCGCCACCACTGTCACCTCACACCACCCGCCAGATTCTTTTGAAACGAGCTCATGGCTTCCGTGGAACACTGCCTCTACTGCTTCGAGGCTCTGGCTTCGCACCTGGAGAAGCGGCCGGGACTGTCCCTCAAGGAGATCAAACAGTCATGGCCCGAATACGCCAAAACCCTGTCACCCGGCCTCGGTGACGGCAAGGACGGGAAGAAGCTCCTCCCGGCCTTGCAACGCCTCGCCGAACCCTCCAGCGACTCCGCCTCGGCCTCCTCCGACTCTAGCATCTCCCTCTCCGCCGAGACACCCGCAACCTCCGCCGACTCCCTCGCCGAAGACGACGAAACCGACGACATCTCCGAGTCCCCCCTCTTCGTCACCTGGAACACCGTCTCCCCCCGCTCGGGCCACCGCTCGCTGCGCGGCTGCATCGGCACTTTCGAAGCACAAGACCTCGCCGACGGCCTGTCCAGCTACGCCCTCACCTCGGCGCTGCACGACATGCGCTTCCCGCCCGTCGAGGCCCCCGAGCTCCCCTCCCTCGAGGTCGCCGTCACCCTCCTCACCGACTTTGAGGACGCCGACGACGCCATGGACTGGACCCTCGGCGTGCACGGCCTGCGCATCAGCTTCTTCTACCACGGGAAACGCTACGGCGCGACGTACCTCCCCGACGTTGCCGTCGAGCAGGAGTGGACCAAGGAGGAGACGCTGGTGAGCCTCATGCGCAAGGCGGGGTGGATGGGCAGCAAGAGCAAGTGGCAGGACGTCGAGCTCAAGGTCGTGCGATATCAGGGTAAGAAAGAGTCTTTGGAGTATGGCGAATACAAGAAGTGGGCCGACTGGGTTCAGAAGAACAAGACGAAGTCGGGCTGAGCTAAGCATCCGGGCTTTCTGTGCTGTCAACACTATGATGAAGAATATGGGAATGGCGTTATACTCGGGAATTGAGACATCCACTTTTAGGAGTCATGGATTAGGCAATGGGTTACATGGATATAGAAGGCTTTTAATCCCTTCTACTAGATGGAGGGATGCCTTTGTGTGGTAATACAGGCAACTTCAGCTCTACAACTCTAGCTAACCGTTTGTGCGGATAATGAATCATGACTATGTTCGTATGTGGCAGATGTTGTAGCGACATCTGAGTGCTCTTAATAGCTAGTAACATGACAACGGTGACGATTCGAAATGATAGGATACATATCTCAATCAGCGCTGGAAGCTCATCTACTATAGTAGCAAGGTTTGGTCACTGGATGTAACTTCATTATCAGTGTTCAACCTGAGACATGGCCCCCAGGCCTCTTGGGCATCATCTAAAGTGTTAGCCATTGAATCTGAGGTATCTTGGGCGCTGCTCTGACAGTCACTTACTTACGAGATGATAAGCTTCCCTCCTCACCGGCGTTGCAAAGTCTTGATACTCTTCCGTCCACGGCGAACTTGGTACTACATCAGACTTTGGGACACTGCGTACTTATGTATTCTCTTGCACCCCGATAGTAGTATGCGACTTCAAAGCACAGGATATGAGATGAATACGCGAAACGCCACCACGTCTGCACAATTCTAGCACATGTCATATACCAGGCTTGCAAGGGAGAGACGTCTTTGATGTATACAGATGACTTTGCTCTTGGTATCAGGTCTAATTACATTGCACCGCACGCAAATAAATACATTTCATAAAGTCGTAAAGTTGTGTTCGCTCCTTGTGTCTTTGTTACACAAACAAAAGTCCTCGGGAATCTGGAATTAACCCGAAGACACCTGACAACAACAGCATGTAATCATGCAGCTGGGTCCTCATCTCACCAGAGGAGCCCAGCTTTCCTCCCCTCCTTCGTGTCTAGTATCTCGTCCTGCTGCGACTGCTACGGTACACATTCGCAGGCGGCAAAGGCGACCCGCTAGCCCTCCTCCTCTTGTCAACGACAACAGGCTGTGTGTACCGGACCTCGTCAACCACATACGACGGGCGCCGGCTATGGCTGTGCCTCGAGGTCTCGTGGTGGTACCGGTGCTGCGTGCGTCTGTGATGCCTTGAGCCGGGCGATCGGCCGCGGTACCGGCGACTGCGCTCGTCGTACTCGTCCTTTTCGGACCAGTCGTTGGGCCGGCTCCACATGCCGCACGACTTGACGATCCACAGCAGGAGGAGAAAGCCGGCGATGGAGCCGATGACGATGCCGGCGATGGCGCCCCCGCTGAGGTTGTTATTGGAGGCGGACTCCTCTGTCGTCTCGGGGGTCGAGGTGATTGTCGTGACGACTTGGCGGGAGGCGAGGATGGCGCGAAGGGGGGAGGGGAGGGTTCTTGTTGGTGGGAGGAAGTCTGATGGGTGACGTTTTGTGAGACCTGCGGCGAGGGCCAAGAGTGTATGTGAAATTGGTGTTATCGGTGCCATGGTGTTAAGAATATGTTTATTTTGGATGGTGGTGTATGTTGTATCTGATGTAGGACTGGTGGGAGCTATGTGTGAGTGGCCGTTGATGGGTGAAGTCTAGTAAAGACACCCGAAGGAAGACGAGACCTCAGATGACAGCTGAGCTAGACCTTGCAAATGGCGGGGAGGGGAGGTAACAAGTGATAAATAGTATGTAGTTGGTGACAGGAATATGACGCCCGTCTACCATAATGAGCGCATTCCAATAAGAGAAGGGCAGGGCAACCTTATGGGTATGGCTCACTGCAAATCTGCCAAGCGAACTTCTCAAAGACCACCCCCCGGCGAGGACGATTGAATGGGGCTGGGTGGGAAGCCCGGGCCTGCATTTCATGGGCCTTATGGATGTGACAAGCAGGGGTAGGGATGTCACGAAGAGCCAGTGATGAGAGCCAACAGCATCGGGGAGCAAAGTGAACAAGTGTGTGAGTGGAAACATTTTCTTCGTGCCATGGGCATTGACGGTAGCATCGAACAAGCGCAGGAAAGGCAGACGGAATTCTTGGTCGAATCCCCCCCCCGCTCGAGTTTGCAGGGTAAATCTTGGACTAACACCACGGACTACGACGCAGATATGCAGCATTTTCCCTCGGTAGCTTGGTCTGCCGAACTGCGAGTAACCCGGGTTTGAGGGGACTTCAAGCTTTTGCGCCTGAGCGAGTGTTAGTTCAAGGTTGTTTTACCTCCAGCTCTACCGCCATTCCCTACGTCCAAGACAAAGAAGCTATTTACCCAACGCGGGGTCCACCGCGTCTCGGGGGCCATTGTCTCTGATGCGCCGTTTTGATCAATTGTTTTAGTTCGAGCAAGGAGGCCCGTTTGAATTTGATGAATCAAACCACAACCCTGGTCTCAACTTTCCTCATATGGAGGGAACATTACGTCTTGTCTTACACGGGAGAGGAGGAAGGGAGGGCGGGGGGTCGGTCGCCCGCACAGCACCAGGTATCCCAATTGAGATTTCTCCATAACAAAAGGCCTAGACGATCAGAAAAAACAAGCTGGCGATGCCGGACAGAAGGTTAGTTCGCGATACGACTCAAAGCTAGGCGTGCTAGGGCTAGTACATCGCAGTAGGGAAGAAAAAAAAGACAAGAAGTTGAGCGTGAATCCCGCCGAGGACCATCACAGCTACGTCACTGGCTCGTGGCCGGGGTGGCTGGGTGGATGCTCAAAAATTCCGCATCGGCCGAGAAAGCGCCATTGCTATTCGCCAGACCAGGCCGGAGTGGGCCCTCCGGCACCTCGGGCCTCCCCACACCTTGACACACCACCAACCAAGCCCCGTCCCTTTCTCACCCGCCCGCCTGTCATCCCGTCACAAGGACGTCCAGCGCACAGCGAACCTTCTCCAGCCCACGGCGCCGACTTTCCTCTCTGCCGCCATGTTCCTTGTTCCTGGGGCTAGCGTCCCGTGTCTTCGATCTCGATCTTTTTATTTTCCCTCCCGGACTGCCGGCGTTTTCTGTGCGCGTGAGACACCCATCCACCATCGCAAGAAGGAAGTGGGAGGGAAGAACGCCCCTCTCTGTTGGATGCAGTTGACGGCGCGGGCAGACCGTTCTCTGCGACTAGGGGAAGGGCGCCTGTCCCGAGTTGCATTGGGCTTCCAATATAATACAGCATGCCGGTCCAGAAATTCATGCCCCGAGCTTTTCTC